TTCAGCTCAGCATCTGGGCCAACGCCAGACATGGGCAGAAAACAGTCCCATCCTCAGGCCTGGAGGCAGAGCCTGGCAGATGCTCAGTTCCTTAGGCAGCTGGCTTAGCCGCAACAGAGTTCCAGATTCTGTGAGAGACCCTGCCTCAAAACAGGGAAGTGACAGGAGTGACAAGGAGAAACCCAACAGCCTCCTCTGCTCTCCAAGTCATCATTCAGGGCAAATGTGCACAGCAATATGAAAGTCACAGAACTCTCCCTGTGCAGCGTGCTGCCCCTGTAGTCATAGCCCTTTCCTAGCGGCCCAGCTGATGGACCCATATTGATACACCCCAATCACGCACCTGCAGTCTGAAATTTACAGTAGGGGCACTGTTTCCTTTGGGTGCCCGTGGGTGGCGTGATGTGTGGGGATCTGGACCTGAGGGATGGATAATGTTTTTAAACATTAGCTCTTTTTGGTTAATTGGTATGCCTTGACATTTGCTGGGTGGAAGGATGGACACCATGGGTACCGCATCCTGGGAGTGCTTCTGTTTTCTGGAGCGAGTTTGTCAAGGGCCATCCCTCAGCCTTGAGTGGGCAGCCCTGCCCAGTCACGGTCTCCCTAAAACATCCTTAGGTCAACAGCGTCCAGACCTGCCCCACCCCAGGGGCAGCATGTTAAAGCATGCATCTCTTCCATGTAGCTTTGTGTATCAAGGTCCATACATGGTTATTGGCACCAACTGTATTCTGGGACAGTATTTAGCATTTTAGTCTTGTCTCATGCACCCTGGACTTTAAGTTCTAGCATGTTACTTGGTTCTTTTAGCTTTTAAATGTAGAAACCATGTCATCCATAGACAATGGTTTTGCATTTCTCCCAAGTCAGTCTATTTTTGGTTTCTCTCTCGTGTCCTTTCACTCTGCACGACTTGTGGTGTGGGGTGGAAGCCAGCAGTGAGAAGTGCTTTTCATGTTATCCCTGGTCTAAGCGGGGAGGCATCCAGCTTCTGGGCATCATGCTAGCTGACTCGCTGTCAGATGAATCTGCATGTGCCTTTAAAGTGAGTTTCTTGTAGACAGTATGTCTTCCTTAGGGCTCCTAGCCCTGTGATGCAACACCATGCCCAAAAGCAACTTGGGGAGGAAAGGGCTTATTTGGTTTACATATCTTGAGTCACATATCTTGGCTTGAGGGAAGCCAAGCCATGCCTCACACCAGGCAGGAGCCTGGAGGCAGAGGGTCATGGAGGGGAGCTGCTTACTGGCTTGCCCCTACTCATGGCTTGCTCAGCCCACTTTCTTGTAGATCCCAGGACAACCAGCCCAGGGATGGCACCACCCACAGTGGGCTGGGCCCTCCCCCATCAACCACTAAGGAAATGACTGCCTGCAGCCATTTTCTCAAGTGAGGCACCCTTCTCTCAGATGGCACTAGGTTATGTCAAGTCGATAGAAAAACTAGCCAGCACACAACATATACTTAATATATTTGTGTCTTTTTCTTTTTTTTAAATCCACCCTGTCTAGCTGTTTTCTAACTAGCACGGCCCCACCACCACCACCACCACACACACACTGAAGTCAGGTATGCTCATGTCAAGAACTCCTGCCTGGGTTTAAGCTAAATGGGCTTGCCCGTGGAAGGCTGAAGGAAGATTCTGCAACGGTCTGAACATCCCGCACTCGAGCTGAAGGCTAGGGCTGCAAGTGTGGCCCCAGACCTTTGCCTCTCTCGGGAAGATACTGAGCACAGGTGTCCATCCCGGGGTGCCATTGCCGATACTGAGAAATGGACCCCAGCCAGCCTCGCTCTATGACTCCCTTCTGAGAGTTGTGTGCAACAGTGTCTAAATTAGATATGGAAGGACACCCAGGGCAGGGGAGCTCAGAAAGCTTCCCGCGGTCCAGCTTGTATGTTGGGAGGTAACTAGCACACAGGGCAATTCACAGGATCTGTAAACTTCCTTTGTATTTCAAACACCAAGTCTTACACCAGCAATTGTGCAAATGGTGTCACAGTGCACCCGACTCTTGGTTCTCCATATCCTTGCCCTTTCCCCCAAGTGACATCAGCGCTTGAACTTATTCTAGTGGCTAATACAGCTGACAGATTGACTGTACTGGGGTGGGATGGGGAACCCTCACAACTTGTTTAACTTCCACCCTTAACTGGCCTGGTTTCCTTGGCTGAGGAAAGGCACTGTGGCTCATGTTTTCTGACTGATTCTCACAAAGCTGTAATGAGGTGTTACTGGGCAGCTGCGTCGGATAAAGAGTGTACTTCTGTGGGTGCCGGCAGGGTTCAGTTCCTTGCCGCCTGTCAGCCGTGGGCCGCTGGCCATTCCCCAGGGGCCTCTCCACACAGCAGCTTTGTGACATGGTAGCTGCTTTGTTAGACTGAGAAAGAAACCAGTGGGCAGTGCCACCGGTAGTGGGTTGGCTAACATCCCAAATATTTGTGAGACGATCCTTCAGCGTGGGTCGGTCCCTGAACACAGTGACCGGTAGGTATTCCTTAGACGAGGGAACACAGACACACATTCATGGGGACATGATGATGGATGCAGAGACTGAAATGATGCATCTGCCGGTCAAGGGACATCGGGTTGCTGGTAGTCACCAAGAATGTAAGCCTGAGGCACCGGATGTTTCTCCTAGAGAGCCAGAAACTAGTTGCAGCCAAACCCTGGCAGCTGCCATACATATTCTCTTGGTTTGAAGTCAGCAGGTCAGCTGTCATCCCAGCGCTCCAGGAGGCAGAGGCAGGTGGATCTCTGTGAGTTCAAGGTCAGCCCAGTCTACAAAGTGAATTCCAGGACAGCCAAGGCTACAAAGAGAAACCCTGTCTCCAAAAACCAAAACAATTACAAAGTTGGCAGGCCCAGCTCGGAGAGAGTTATATCAGTGGCAGGGTCACAGGGAGCCCTAAACGCTGCCCAGCACAGACCGCTATAATTTGTATACATTTCCTCATTCCACATCTAGACTGCTGCTAGCTTTTCAGCACTTCAGAGCTGCAGGAGCTGCAGGTAGAATATCCTTTGAACATGTCTTCTATGAACATTTGCAAGTCTCAAGATCTAAAGTTGCTGAGTTGGGAGCTTAGCTTTTTTTGTTTATTTTCCCAAATTGCTCTTCAAAGTGGTGGTAACAACCCAGTTTCCACTACTTGTGTGTGAGTTTTTCATATTCTGGTATTTGCTGTGGTCAGTTCTAGAACATGCTAATCATTGAGCTTCTCTGATGTGTGGCCATTTTCCATAGTATTCTGTGTGTGAATACTTCATAACTTCTGCAGGTCATCTCCAAATCAGGGCCGTGTTCTTCTGCCTAGATTTTATAACTTTTTGTGGCTATATCTTTCGTGACTTCTCAAGCCTTTGGTATAATTTTAAGACTATTTCACATTTTAATGTCAGAAAGTATCTGTACACAGATTTCCAGAGTTCTGCCCACATTTATATTCGTTTCTCCTATTACCTTTTCCAGTTTGTCCATCCCTGGTTGTCACTGCTCTCGCCCTAACCCCAACACTCTCTCTCTCACCATGGCTACTTTTGTCCAGAAGTTTAACCCCCCCTTAGAGGGCATCTTTTGCATTTTCCACAGGAGGCTCTGTAATGAGCTGGGTCTGCATGTCTGAAGTTATGCTCAGTCTTTAATGCCACTGTAGCTAAAAGCAAGCAGGTCTAGGTTGGGAGCTTCGTTTTGGACCTGGAAGCCTTTTGTCTCTGGGCAGCTGAGACTCCAGCGGTATTCTCTAGTTCCCTGCAAGGGATTTTTCTCTCCTTGAGCTCCATGTTCTGCCGCTGACTGTGATGAGTGGATTTGTTTTATGCGTTGCTGCAGTTTTGGGGGCTGCTGAAGAGCCATATCTTAAAGACTTAGCTCCCAGTTTGGGACCGCTGGGAGGTGGTAGTGTGTGTGTTGGAGGTGGGGCGCGGGTTCTGGCATGGAGAGCGTGTTCCAGAAGAGCATGGTAGGACTCTGTCCTCCTTCTCATTCAGCTCTTACTGCTGTGCCACCGCATGCCCAGCCCAAACGGGCTGAAACCTCTGCCCTGAGCTCAGCCAGCCTATCCTTTGAACAGGTCTCACTTGAGATGTTTGTTACAGTGCCGGAAAGCTAACAACACATGTCCACAGTGCCCTTCCAACCTGAAGGCTGGATCTGTCAAATCAGACCAAGCTCAAACCTTGCCTAGTGCCCCTTCCCCTTTGTCCTGGGTCTCCCGGTGATGGTCAGGGGCATTACCTCCTCTTCACCTTAGCTGTGTGCCGCCATCTCGTCTCAGCAACGCCTTTGCTTTTGTTGACATATCCTGCCTTTAGTTCATTCTTCTTTAATTATGTCTGTCTTCTATGAGACGCAGACACGGGTTTTTTTGTTTGTTTTTTGCTTGTTTCCCAGACTCTAGAACAGCAATTCTTAACCTGGGTCAAGACCCCTTTGGGGGTCACATACCAGATTTCCTGCATATCAGAAACAACTTTACAGTTCTGAAGTAGCAATGAAATGATTTTATGGTTGGGGTCAGCACAACATGAGCTGTGTGAAGGGTTAGGACAGTGGATAACCACTGCTCTAGAATGTCCTGTGAAGGTCTCTTCAAGATCTACCCCTTAAAAAATTGTTTACTTTGCAATCCTTATTTCTTCTTTTAGCTCTTCAAAAATGTTAGGCATACTCACTTGAAGTCTTTCCCACTGTTCTGTTGCAGCTTTTGTGGTGAAAATCCCCTGCTCGTGCTGCAACTGCTGGCTGTTTCCTCCTCTTCCCGGCACGAGGAGCAGGGATAGGATGTTTCTTCCTAGCTTAGTCCGCAGTTACCTTACGCCAGCTCTCTCCACGCAGGACAAAAGAGCCTGTGTTCTCCTCCACAGGAGTCCGTCCGTGTCATCCACATACTACTGTGGTTCCTCAGGACCTTACAAAGTTGTTTAGTTGCTAGTTTGTTCTATTCCTAATTTAGAAAGATTATTGTTAGACAAGACCAAAAGAAATGGCAACAAATGACTTCTTAAAAACAAATAGTTTAATTTCATCCAGAAAAATACAAGTTTAAAAATGAAACGCTTCGACATGTCATTGAGTGTCATCTTTATAGGAGTATGCTCATTCAAAATGTGAGAGAGAGAGCCTTTATACATTTCTAGAATCGAATATCCCAGGTTAGTTATAAAATACCAGCCACTAAGTACTCAGGCTTGCTTTGTTTTTATAGGGCATATTTTATAGAAACTGTTATAAAATAAGGCAGGCTCTTAAAAATTCAATTATAAAATTTTATGAAAAAAAAAATGGTCAAATCCAGATTTTTCTCTGAGAAGGCGCGTGCAGAGCTCATGAGCTGCTGCTCAGAACCTGGTCTGCACAGTAGCTTCCCTGCCGCATGCCCCAGTGAGGCCCCAGCACGAAGCCCCTCCCACTAACGTCAAGAGTTTATCCTGTTTCCACAGTGTGGTAAAATAGATCATCTTATATCTGCATTATGAAAATAAGTCTGTACACCAAGTCATGCACACTTAAAGATAGGAGTCCTGAATCTGGTGGTGGCATCTCAAGTTGGCTTTGGCTCTGAAGTATTTTTAAATTAATAGATATGTCAAACGTCTGATAAAATAAATAAAACATTTAATAGCTGGGATCACAACCTTAAATTTATCTTGTTTGCTAGTCGATTTAAGGGAGGTCACTTCCAGCAGTGTTCCGCACCCCTGCGATGCCATTCTGCAGGCTGAAGGAGAGCCCTGGGTCACCTGCAGGGCCCCTGGGCCTGTGGTGTCACAAAGTTGATACAAACCAGAGTTCTTGTGGCAAGCTCATGCTTTGGTAGCGGATGGAGGCCATAGAAGGGAGTCCCATGTGCTCTCTGGGCTCTGCAGATGAGGGGGTGGCTCTACCTAACCCTGAAGGACACAGCCCCAGGCCAGGTGTGTACCTCACACTACTCTGGAGGGGGCCGGAGGCTGTGCAGCTTCTTTTCATCCAGGCCTTTCCAGTACTTGAAGTTGTCATCTAGGTGCTGCATAAGGTCAGGCAGGTCAACAAAGGCTGCGGAGAAAAACAGGGACGCAGCGTCTTCACACAGCCTTTCTGTATGGGTTCCACCTTCCTTAGTTTCTTTCTGGGAATGGGACTTAGGCCCTCCTCCCACAGAGCAAGCTGTACCCCAGCTCCAGCATTTTAAAAGGGACAGAAGGGAGTCTCGGCAGTGATGTAACGCCACTGCCAAAGCCAGGGAGGTGAACATAGGAAACCTGTTCTCAGCCCTCCTCCCTCCCACACCTGCAGGCATCCTCTCAGCGGCTTCTCCCCTTGAACACAGCCCTCAGGGCACAGGAGCCCACATATTTGGGATCCTCTTCTGGGTGCCTGTTACTCAACAGGCTCGTTGCCCTCCAGGATGGCTGCTTTCTCTCCATTCCACCTCGAAAGTCTAAGGCCCACATGCATGCCTGCTAACTGCTATTTAATTAGTGGTCCCCCGTAAGGAAGATGTGCGAGGTGCCTTACCATCCCAGGCATCAAACATATCTGTGATGAAGAAATCAATGAAAGAGATCTGAGCCTTGGGAATGCTGCAGGTGTTTCTGTCAAAAACTGGCATCACCACAGGTAAGTCCAGCTGTTTCTCTTCATCTGTCTGCAAAGCAGAGCACCTGGTGATCTCAGGCGTGAGCCCCACCCTGCCATGGAGCAGCCCTCCCCCTAAGGAGTGCCTGGGACAACCCCACAGGTTGCCTTGAGAGCCCAGCGCAACACTAGCCAAGCAAACGGGTGTGCGAGACACCAAGCTGTTCCCAGAATGAGGCCCCTCCCCCTTCCAAACTCCTCAATAGCTGAGGCCTCCTTGCTGATGTTCCTCAGGTCAGAGCAGCAGTGGTCACTTACCGCCTGTCACTACCCACCATCCTCTGCACACATGCCCAATATGCCCACACTGGTGCTGAAAGAAGGGAGCAGAAGCATGGCCCCTGACCAGGACGGGCCTAGTGGCCATTTCTCAGTTACGGATTTGCTGTCTTGTTGGGACGTCTATATACAGACCTATTAACTATTAACTACTAACTAGTTAGTCCTAAAACCTCCCCAGGGAGAAAACACAGAAGTGCCTTCAGGATGTGTTATTTTCTGTGTGCTATATCTTTGTCCCTTCCTTGTGTGGTACAGTGACTAGAAAGACCAACATAGTGTGTAGGAACAGGCTCAGTTTTGTTTCCATTATTAGGGAACAGCATGTGTTTCGATGCACCCTAAACTGTTTTTAATCCCACAACTCAGGAGCCAAAGGCCAGCCTGATCTACACAGCGAATTCTGGACAGTCAGGGCTACAGAGACCCTTATCTCCAACAAAGTAATTTCCTTCTAGTCCTAAGCTGCTAAGAGTTCCTATGACAGGAGGATGCTGAGTTCGCACACCTTTTCTATAACTGACGCAATGATCATAAGATCTTCCTCTTATGATTATTCAGGGAATATGGTAAGTTATTAAAACAAGGGCCTTTCCTGGTATTCGACTAATCTTGCAATTAGTGATGTAACAGTCTCTTTATGCTGATTCTGCTTCTCTACATTCACATTCTTGAGGACGTGATGCCTGCGGTGTTGCCTTTGTCGGGTTTTGAAAATGACAAAGGAATGAGCTGCCTCCTTTCCTTTCTCAGAGAATTTATAAGGCTGCCATGATTTCTGCCATAAATGTTCAAATCATCTGTCTTCAACACTACTTTAGGCTGGCTGTGCTATAGGCTGCTGATAGGAAATGCATATACATTATGGTTATGGCCCTTTTCTCATTAGGAAATGTCCTGCTGTCTTTTATCTAAAATCGAGATGGCTGCTCGACTTGTTCATAATTTGCATGCTATGCTTGTATGGGTCTGCTATGTATCTGTTCTTTATATTTCAAGTATCTTTTCTAGAATGGCTTCTCTGTGTGGCCCTGGCTAGCCTCTAACTTGGAGGTCCACCTGCCTCTGCTTCCTGAGCGCTGGTGTTAAAGGCGTGCGCCACCGCCATGCTTCCTTTTCCTGTCGTATGACAGGGCAGACACAACAGTGCAGTGCGAGAACCTTTGCTTAAAATAACCCTATGCTGCAACACAGAGAAGTTTGGAGAATAAAAGAGTCTTGTATAGCTACCTGGGTTTTGCCCTTTTGGGGTCCTTTCATCTTGAAAAGTCATGTTTACATCTGAGCTCACTTCCTTTCAACCTTAAGAACTCCTTCCGGCATTTCTTGAAGTGCCGGGTTCCTGGTGATGACGTCTACTAGTTCCTCCCTGTCTAAGAATGAGTCTATCTTGCTTTGATCCTTGAAGGTGACAGTTTTCTTCTAACAGCAGTTAAACATGATGTTTTAGTGTCTTCTGGCCTTCAGTGCCTCTGACAGGAAATTAGGAAATGTGAGAATGATGCTTTCCTTTTTTTTTTTTTTTTTTTTTGACAGGGTCTCACTATGTAGCCCTGGCTAGCCTAGAACTCTAATGTAGACCAGGTTGAGTTCACAAAGGTCTGCCTGCCTCTGCCGCCTGAGTGCATGGATTAAAGGTGTGCACCACAACTCAGACCCTTGTGAGATGCCAGCAAAGCTCTACTGCCCATGCGCCCCTCACCCCTCATTGGGCTCTTTCATCTGTGTGCATATGTCCACTCCCAAATCTGCAAACACTTTAGCATCTTCTTTTCCTTCTGTCCCAGGAAATTATGAGGGACAGTGCTTTTAGGAGAAACCTGCCAAGCCAGGGTTCCAAACTCAGCAAAGATGTCCAACAATGAGGACAAAGTAACATATTTACAGATAAAGAAAACCAATTTGTTAGCAGTAAGTATACAAAGGAAATCTCCAAAGGCAACTCTTTTAGAGTTCTCTCTCCTAGAGTGGGTAGCCTCCCATGCCTGCGTGTGAGCGGTAAGGTGCGTGTGAGCGGTAAGGTGCGCGCGTGCGTAGGAACTTAAGATGCAGTATCTTACCTGCGAAAAATACTCTTCTGAAATCCGTGCAGCCCACTCGATGCAGTGCTCTAGGGGCCGGCAGGGATTGGACACATCGGAACACTTAATCATCATTCGTTTGATGAGAGCCCGGTTCTCTGGAGTTTTGAGCATAGTGTCTATTGATTCCTGGCTTTTGCCAGCTTCCTGAATCATGAGTGGAATCAAAGCAGTCAGAATGGGCCTTGTGGCCAGCTCCCTCACCATAGGGCCCTGTGAGTGCAGGCAGTCTGGCCAGGGTCTACACGGCTGAAGGTGTCATTAGCTTGGTCTGAATGCACTGGGCAGGCTTTCACCCCAGGACTGGCAAAGGGTGCTTCATCTCTTTTTTCTTTTCTTGCCCAGGCTCTCTGGTCTTTCTTTTTTGGTCTATCTTTTTTTTTTTTTTTTTAACTTTCTTATCTTTTTAGGGTATTTAACTTTCTTATCTTTTTAGGATATTTACTGAAAGACAAAAATGAGTTGGAAAAATAGAGTTCTCTCTTCTCACAACAGAAGAGCTCTGTGGTCCACCATCCCCTCCGTTCCTTGCAGCCCAGTCTTCACGGGGCTCTTCGACAGGAGCCTGGAGACTCAGCTTTCAGTGAACCCTAATAACAGTTAGTGGCAGCCCCTCATACTGCCACAACAATTATGACATAAAAGACACAGAGTCCTTTTCTTTGGATCTGTGCTGACAGAATTGGTGGGGCTCTATTGTATTTAAAAACGAGGGCAGGATTCAGAGTGATGTATCTAGTGTTTCCCAGCGGAGCCAGAGTCATGATGGAAGTTCTGCCCTTTTGAGTCCTGTAAGGGCATGGTCTGGTGCTTTGTATGGAACTGTTAATTATTTTGCCCCCTGAGGTCTGCTTGCTGTCTTTTAGGAGCAGACACTCAGGCAATCCTTGCCTCCACAAAATCCCAGATTGGGTGAATAAATGCCTAAACACCTGGGCGGGGCAGAAGTCAGAGAGGCATGGCCAAGGTTCCATACCTGTCCCAGTAAGCTCAATAAAGAGACAAATGATGGTTAAAAAGAGAGAGGAGAGAGATTTCACCAATGTACAAATTGAAAAGGAGAACAGATAAAGGCTCTATTGACCCCAGATCCATCTTTAGGAAGCTTACAAGAGCTTTAGATTTAGTCAGAGGAAGAATTGAGGCTGGGGCAAGAGGCAGGAACAATCAAGCAGGACTGTCAAGTGTGGTCTCGTGGATCACTGGCTCAGTGTTGGTTCTGCGAGCTGGTAGAAGTCCTTTTTGCTTGAGGGGGCAAACCAGTTCTCAGAATTCAGGGTGCACCCTTGCCATTATAAAAAGAGCAATTGTCGGCGATGCTCTGTCCCGTGAGGCTTTACGAATCCTGATACCTAGAAGGTTGAGGCCAATGAACAGAGACTTTTAGGTGCCTCTTGGGGAGAAGGCTTTCTGGAAGAGGACCCTGAAAAAAGTGACAGTAAAAAGTCTATGTGTTTGGCACTCAGACTTGAAGGAGAACAAGGTAAGATTTAAAAACAAACAAACAAACAAACAAACCTCTCTAAGCGCCAGGTGTGGTGGCACACACCTTCAATCCCAGCACTGGGAGGCAGGGCCAGGCAGACCTCTAAGTATGTGAGGACAGCCTGGTCTACTTACTGAATTCCAGGCCAGCCAGGGCTACACAGTTAGATCCTGTCAAGAAAAAAAAAAAAAAAAAAAAAGAAGAAGAAGAAGAAGAGGAGGAAGAAAAAAAAAAAAAAAAAAAAAAGCCCAACTGGCCCTAGAATCTAGAATGTTCAAAAATGGAGGAGACATTTTTGAGACAGGGCACAGGAATGGCCAATGTGAAAACTCTTGTTTACACATCTATTTGCATGTTCTATTTTTATTTCTGCCAGAGTTTTGCACATTAGTGATTTTTCTTAAAAAAAAAAAAAAAAAAAAAAAAACAATGGAAAAACAAAATAAACCAGCCTTGATGCCAGCACCTGAGAGTCTGAGGTAAGAGGATCACTGAGTTCTAGGCCAACCTGGGCTATAGAGCGCTGGCCTGCCTCAAGATAGATAGATAGATAGATGATAGATAGATAGATAGATAGATAGATAGATAGATAGATAGATAGATCGATCCTCAAAATAGATAGCTACATAGATAGCTAGATGGATGGATGGATGGACGGACAGATAATGGAAGATTAGACAGATAAATGATAGATGACAGATAGATTACATATATAAATGCTATATAGATAAGCAAGCAAATAAAGAAAAATCGAATGAAAGAAAGGAAGTGGAAAACCAAATTCAACACGCCCACCAAGGGCCCTGCCAGGTCTGACTGAGAAGCTCGGGTGCAGCCTCAGAGTAAGTTTCTCTCACCTCATCTTCTTGTGCTACCAAAGGCTTGTTGATGCTGTTGATAAATTTGTTGACGTGCTCGAAGTGCCGTGTCATTTCTGTGGCTAGGACCATGTCAATAACACTCTGGCGCAGTGTCCGGTAGTCATTCCTGTCTCAGACAGAGAAGTGGCTATGCGTTACCGATTCAGACGTGGAGGCTCTCTCACACACAACCTGTGTTCCAGGATGCATGACCGCTGTGGCTATCAGTCAAGTACCACTGGAAGTTACAGTTCCTGCATCGCTGGCTGAAGTTGACAGCAAGTTAACACAGGGCACTCAGCTTTGTAGCTGTGATTACTCTGTAGAGCAGTGTACTCCGTTCTTAGGGTATGTAGCGGGGATAAGCAAAGACCTGTCTTTCCCTGTCTTTCTCCCTCTCTAGCTAAAGACAGAATCACAATTTGTAGTCCAGGATGGCCTCAACTGACGTTCTTGAGTCATTCCTCCAAGGGCTGGCATTACAGGCATGTGCCACTGAGCCAAGCAAGGCTCTCCTCTTTATACCTACAATCTCCATATTCATTAACAATGCGTCCAGCATGGAAGTACCTTGAGACCCAGAGAATTCTGAGGGCAGATCTTTGATAGCCCCTTCTTTAACCCTTGTTTTTATTGATAGTCTCAACTTTTTTCTTTTTCAAGAGGTGATCCATATAATTTAAAATTAAAAAGTACAGAAAGAGTATGAAATAGACCCTGCGGCTAGCCCTTCTCTGTAGCCATCCTTTCTCTGGAGACATCTGAAGTTAGTGGGGTCTTGTGCTAGCTGGTTCTATGACAACTAGAAACAAGGTAGAGGCATTTTGTAACAGAAAACTTTAACTGAGAAAATGCCCCGACCAGATTGACCTGTGGGCAAGCCTGTTGGCTATTTTCTTGATTCATGCTTTATTAGGGGGTGCCCAGCTCACTGTGGGCAGTGCCACCCCTGGGCAGATGGTCCTGGCTGCTAGGCATGAGCAGTGTTCCTCCATGGCCTCTGCTCCAGGTTCCGGCCCTGATTCCCCTCAGTGATGCACTGTTACCTGGGTGTGCAAGATGAAAGAAAGCCTTTCCTCTCCAAGTTGCGTTCGGTTAGGATTTTTATGACAGCAACAGAAACCCTAACCAAGACAGGTCTTATGTAGTTTCCAGACGAAAATAATATATTTGCAGGCAAATATGACATGGTACAAGGGAGCTCTGGGAACTCGGGATACTCTTTTAAACATCCTATAAAAGTTTCCTTAAAAAATTAAAGTATTTCTCATGACTTTTCTTCTGTTTCCCATCGAGCTCTACTGTGTATTAGGGCCTGAGCGAGACACCGAGAGCGTGCCGATGAGCAAAGACAAGGGCCCTGAGACGTTGCAGTTCTGGACTCTGAGCTGGGGCAGGTGCTGACGCCTAGGACCCCGGCGCTTGTGAGGCTCTGACAGCAGGACTTCAAGTAAGGCCAGCCCATGTAGTAGGACCCTGTCTCAAAACCTCTGAGTGGGCAGTGATCACTTAGTTTTGAGATAGAACCCAAAGCCCTGTACACGCAAGGTGAGTGCTATACCACCGAGCCCTGCCATTTCTTACATCTAGTTTTATAAATGTTACATGTGCTAAAGAAGCCATGACTGAGCAATTCTGTGTTGCATGTAGGTGAGGATCAGGGAAAAAGCTTCCTCAGGGGAGGGCCTGCAAACAGACAGGGATAAAAAGTGTGCTGTGCACAGAAGGCCAAGAGGAATGTTCCAGGCAGGTGTGTAGGTCAACCTGGGCAACTCAGCAAGACCCTGCCTCAAAACAAAATCGTCAAAGGGCGGCGGATGCAGCTCGGTGGTGAAGCGCTTGCGAGCTCAGCGTGCTCAACTTGTTTTGGCGTGGACGGTGGGACGCTGCTCTGTGAGCACACCTCCAGCCAGGGTGCCTTCCACCTGGTCAACAGCCCCTGTCCTCACCTCTCCACGTTCTTAAAGATATTGCACTTGTCATTTTCCAGGGTCAGCTGGAAGGCCAGCGCGGCATGGTGGCTCTCCAGCACAGCAGTGTCATTGTACAGCACGGCTAGCTCGCTCCCTGAGTTGCAGAGGAAGGAGTTGGTTCTCCCGGGGTGATCCACATCGTGAATGGTGGCAGCGATGAGGGCGGCAACCTCGTCAATTCGATCTAAAGTTTCCTGAAAACAAGAACTCCTTTGAAAACCAGTGTCTGCTGTGCCGAAACAATCCTTCACCAGAGGCTTCTCTCTGCCCCGATTCCTGAGAGAACCACATTGTCTGAGCAAATCCTGTTTTCCCATCTCTGCTCTGAGGCTGTTCACCTTTCTTTAAGGCTAGCCTTGACTCTTGATCCAACCTTAGCTTCCTGGGGGCAGGGATTACAGGCAGACATCAGTAGCCTAGCCAGTTTTCCTCCACTTTTATCAATTATATAGCAAAAAAGAAAAACTATCAGCTTTAAAATTTTTGAGTTAATATAGATGTGTGAGGTGCTTTTTCTGTCATTTACTTTTTCAAATTTGTGTGTTACTATTTCCCTATTTCTCAGTTTTACTACTCTGGTGTCTTAATTCCGAAAGCCATTGTGCATTATTATTGGCTTCCCATTTCTTCACAATGTAGCCTCGGCTGGCCTTGAACTTCTGGAGAGTCTTCTTAAGCGCTGGATGACAAGCATATACCACGCCCAGCTTGTGTGTGTGTGTGTGTGTGTGTGTGTAGATCATGCGAATGCACATGTATGTGAGTGTGAACATGAGTGTGCACGTGCATGTGGAGGCCAGAGGCCAACCGCAGCTGTTGGTTGTCAAGAGCATCAATGTCCCTGCAAACACACTTCCACCGCTGGGGCCAGCGGCTCGGTGACTGTGAGCCCCGGGAACCTACCCGTGTCAGCCTGAGCAACACTGGCCTCGCATGGACACCCCCCCCCCAGCATTCTTCTATTTCTAAAATTTTTTATTACGATTTGTTCACTTTGTATCCCAGCTGTAGCCCCTTCCCACTCCCACTCTGCCTCCCTCTTCTCCCTCATGCCCCTCCCCAAGTCCACTGATAGGCGAGGTCCTCCCCCACTTCCATCTGACCCTAGCCCATCAGGTCTCATCAGGACTGGCTGCATTGTCTTCCTCTGTGGCCTGGCAAGGCTGCTCCCCCCTCAGGTGGAGGTGATCAAAGAGCCAGCCACTGAGTTCATGTCAGACACAGCCCCTGTTCCTATTACTGGGGAGCCCACATGGAGACTGAGCTGCCATGGGCTACATCTGTGCAGGGGTTCTAGGTTATCTCCATGCATGGTCCTTGGTTGGCGTATCAGTCTCAGAAAAGACTCCTGTACCAAAATTTTTTGGTTCTGTTGGTCTCCTTGTGGAGCTCCTGTTCCCTCCAGGTCTTTCTATCTCCTCCTTCTTTCATAAGATTCCTTGAACTCTGCCCAAAGTTTGGCTATGAGTCTCAGCATATGTTTTGATACCCTGCTGGGTAGAGTCTTTCAGAGTCCCTCTGTGATAGGCTCCTGTGCTGTTCCCTGTTTTCTCCCTCTTCCGATGTCCATCCCATTTGCCTTTCTGAATGAGGATTGATCATCTTACCCAGGGTCCTCCTTCTTGCTTAGCTTTTTTAGGTGTACAGGTTTTAGTATGATTATCCTATATTATATGTCTAATATCCACTTATAAGTGAGTATATACCATGTGTGTCTTTCTGCTTCTGGGATACCTCACTCAGGATGATCTTTTCTAGTTCCCACCATTTGCCTGCAAATTTCATGATTTCCTTGTTTTTAATTGCTGAGTAGTATTCCACTGTGTAAATGTACCACAATTTCTATATCCATTCCTCAGTTGAGGGACATCTGGGTTGTTTCCAGATTCTGGCTATTATGAATAAAGCTGCTATGAACATGGCTGAACAAATGTCCTTCACACCCAGCATTTTATGTGGGCACTAAGTGTGTTTTGCTGGCTAAGCTATCTCCCTAGCCAAATTATTCTGTAGGTTGGAGAGACAGTTTTCATTTCATTTCAAAACTTATCCAAGCACGTGACTGCCCTAATGTGAGATGAACAAGGATGACACAATGACATGCCAAACTGACTAGGAAAAGCCCATGAGGCCTCAACTCCACATAAAAACTGTGGGCAACAAGAAAGCTGGGGGGGTGGGGGCTCTGCCCGCACGAAGGAGACACCTAAATGGTCAGCCCTGGAACATGTATGCAGGCAGTGTTCCGTGGACTCAACAGGTAATATTGAGGCATACGTATGTATACATACATACACACGTGCATGCCACAACAACGGACAGAGAAAGAGACCATGAACTTGAAGGAGAGTGGGAAGGGTGTAAGGGAAGGCTTGGATGGTGGTGCTTAACTTTAATCCCAGCACTTGGGAGGCAGAGGCAGGTGGATCTCTGAGTTCAAGCCTGGTGTAAATGAAAACATCTATTATTTTGATTTTATTTCTTTGTGGATCTGAGTTTTCTCAGACATTTTGTATTTGTAGAGATTGACAACCACTAACTGTTAAATTCTAGTTTTGTTATGATTCAGGATCTGCAGCTTATAAACTGAGCTTCAAAACATTATGCCCTAGTAGTAGGAGCTGGTAAGAGAGCTTGTCATCCAGCCTGAGGACCTGAGTTTGATCACTGAGACCCAATGGTGGAGAGAATGAACCTTCGCAACTTGTCCTGACTTCCATCTGTATGCTACAGTGGACTTACATGTCTCATGTTTACAGACACTAATGTTTAAAGATCATATTTGGAAGTATTCTATAAACATGTGAACAGGTATATATATATATAGTCTCATAAAGTCATTAAAATTCTATAGTTTTTTTCACATTACATAGGGACACTATGGTGTGAAACTCAATAAATGCTTCGACTATCATTTTAAGCCAGGCCTGGCTGTGTGTACCAGTAATCCCACAATCTGAAAACTAGAGGCAGGAGGGTTGGGAATTTAAGACCAGCTGCAATAGCACAGTGAGTCTGAGGCCAGCCCCGGCTACACAAGATACTATCTCAAAATATATATTGTTTTTTTTTTTAGGCTAGCTCAGAATATATTTGTTCAAAAGCAACCAACTATAGCAAAATTGTTCTTTAGATGCTAAGTTACTTTAACCCAGACACTGCACACACACACACCCTCCCTCCCTGGCTACTTGTCTCTGTGTTTGAGGAAACGTCTCTCTCGATTTTTATCCCACCTATGGTCTTGGTGATTTGGTAAGAACTGAGCTACAGGTTAGCTCTATCCCTTGCCCAGCACACACAGCCCAGGGTTCAATTCCTATCCTCTCTGCTGCTGTTATAAAAAAAATAAGCAAAGCCACCTTGGGGAGGAAGGGGGTGTATTTTACCTTATCGCGGATACACTATTAAGAGAAGCCAAGGCTGGAACTGAAGCGAAAGCCACAGAGAAGCACTGCCTACTGGCTTGCTCAGCCTGCTTTTCTATACACCTCAGGACTACCTGAGCAGGGGCAGCACCACCCAGAGTGGGCTAGGTCCTCCCATATTAATCATTAATCAAGAAAATGCCCCAGTCATGCTAACTGGCCAATCTGATGGAGGCAATCCCTCCATAACCCTAATTCATGTCAAGTTGACAAAAACTAACTGGTACAAATGCCTAATTCCATATTAAAACAGCAATAACTAGTGGTCACAGGGAAGGACCCAAAAGACTGAGATCTGAGAGGTCTGTCCCTCATGGGGAGAAATCATCTGCTCAGCCCCGTCCTGTACCGGCGCATCCTCCATTTTGTCTCCACACTCAAGCTCCATGTTGATAGACTGTGTGGGCTCAGGATGGACACCCCCGGTCCTGTGTGACTGTAGCCACTCTTGGTCCCAGTGCTTTGGTGTGGCCTGCACACCTGCGGCAGAGAGGGAACGATGGAAGGGGAGTTCATCACAGCGGAGTGTTTGAGGAGCTTCAGCAGCCATGGGGTTTTTAAGTTTGAACCCCTGTGGGAGAAGAAAGCTGCTCCTGGCAGTTATGGTCAGCCATGCTGTTTTTGGAAAGAACACAATGGCAGCACTGTGAGAGTGCACCAGAGGGACCGGGGAGAGGAGGGAGGGGACGTCACTGGCATGGGGTAGTAAGATGAGAAGGAGCTCTGTCTCGGTCAGATGGCCAGGCAGGGAGGGACGGAGGAGGGGGCAGTAATGGTCTCGGGCTCACAGCACAGGTGAGGATCCCAAAGAGGCTCAGTGTACCTTAGGTTCAGACTGGAACCTCCTTCTCTCCTGTTCTTTCTCCCCAGGGACTCAAGGAAGCGGAGGCTGCAGAGCAACTGGCTTCCTTTGTGTGCCAACCTCCACGCACATGAGGAGTGGAGTGGTTATGTTACATGCGAGTGAGGGCAACCGAGGCAGAAGCACCTGCCTCTCCCTTCTGCTGCTACTAAGTGGGGACACACGAACGCCAGCTTACCTTTATCTTGTCTCTGGAAAGGAAGTAGGCAGTGGCATGAAGCACGTCTGCAGCATGTGTAGAATTGTGGTAGGGGTTACAAGAGTGGTAATTGGCTTCAATAAGCTGAAACCATGATCTCAGTGTTGCCTCGGAGCACTGTAAGAACTCACAGATTCCAAAACGAGCAAATGTTTTGAGACCTAGATAAATCAAAGGCCTACAAAGAAAAATATATCCACAATATAAAACAACGCAATTAACCAGTCCCCTGAGCTCTGAAGGGATTCAGGCTCCACAAGCAAATTCCAGCCCAACTGCAGAGTGCCCGGGGCAGCCGATAGGCGCTGCTGGGCTGTACCAGCCAGGCTGTGCACATTCCACGTGGGCAGGGCCACGCAACAGTGTCTGCCTTCGCCTTCTTGGGGCATCTTGATTGGCCAGGGTGACAGTTTCCACCCTGCTTGCGTCAGTGCAATCTCCAGAACATCCCTTTCCATACGACTAAACATTCCACCTGCAATCCTAGTCTCCCATGTTCTACTGACTGTCCCTCTAGACTGTCTGGTCTAGAGGGAATGACCACCGAAGTGACTATGAACTGGACACAGACACGTGTTAGGTGACTGAACACCTCGACAATCTGGAGGTGGTGTTATGGTCTAAAGTTAACCCCAACAGGGTGACCCGCTGCCAGCAAGTAAGGGTGCTTTGATTTACTGGGTTGGCTTGGAGAGTTAAGAAATCAGCCCCACAGAAGCCATCTCAGAGGTCTTCACAGGACTCAACTTGGGCTGCCTTACACACTTTTCACCGATGTGATGGTTCTGCTGCGTAACCGAGGTGCTCGGAGGCTCACTTGCCGTGGAGTACGCCTATCGACTACTTGGCGGTGTGAAGCGGGCGCCCCAGTGTAGACACGCTCGCCCAGTGGGATGAGCCCTGGTTAACCATCCCACAGTTCAGCAGAGCCACCTCTTGCAAAACAGGACCGAGCTCCTGACTGGTATCAGCTGCGGATGCCTAGTCCTATGTGCCAAGACCCTGTGGTTAACAGCTTTTACTTAGCAAAGCCCAAACTCCCAGTCTGCAACCATAAGCCGGTGAATATAACTAGGGTGGAGTGTCTGTGTGGGGCCACCAACATGGCAACCAAGACCGGAGACTAGTTCTAGCAAATGTAACTAAGCATATCAGTTCAAGGCTTTATGGCAGGGGACTCTGTTGCTACCTCATACAGGACCACATACTGGAGAAATTAGGAACCTATGCCATCACGGCTAGGCAAACTCTGCCTGGGCTCAGGACAACTTGAAGCCCCACTACTCCTTCCTCAGCCACTGTCCCACCCCAGGAATAGCTCTGCACACAGGTATGCCGCTCAAGTGGCTCCCTGTCCGGGCCCTGGGAAACAAGCTCAACACACCTTTTTTGGGTAGCTGCTTCCAGCTCAAAAATGTCAAAGTCCCAGAGTTGGTCATTTTCTATGGCCAGGGCAATCCGTGGTGAGATATCATGAAGGCAGAGGGGGACGGACATGCTGCTTGAAGATGACTGAAGGTCTGTGAGGTGATATAATTTGGAAAACAACATCAACAGACTCACGGCATTTGGTTTTTGGTTGGGAGCAGCACTGCATCAGAAAGGCTACTTTGTTTTTGAGGCTTCATGGCATCCCAGAACTTAATGATGGGACCAGCCGTCTCCATCATTTAAGCTGGCATGCAGTGTCGCAGTGGTCTAAAACATTAAAAACAGAGAACTTACTTCTTGTTGTAAGAAGATATTCATTTCCTGAAAACCTTCGTAAGCCGTCCTGGGGAAAACCAAGAAAAAACATGGTCACATGGTCTTCTTTTCCCTTTGGATGACCCAGAGCATCAGCTCCAGAAGATAATGTAGGACCGCCCACTGAAAGACTGCCCAGTCCAGCAGGCTGACCACTGTGGCCAACCCCAAATTCAACCACTTCCTGGGTGCTGGGCTCTACTGCTGGAAACTAGGCTCAGTCAGGGCAACCAGTGAGATGACCAACATGCCTGCCTCACTCCAGAACCAACTAATGCCCTAGCGACAGACAACCGCCCTCTGCTCTCAGTCTTCCCCCATTGTCTGACTCAGCTGTCTCACCTGAGTGAGAAGTTGGCCCCTCCCCTTGTTCCCTGAGTACCAAACCAATCACTCAGTACTCTATGCTCCCATACCACCTTCTCTTTCATTCACTGAGCTCCAGGACACTCCCACCCCACCTTCCCCAAACTCAGCCCTGACCCATAGGCCATAGTTAGAGGTTACCACTGGAAATGACCCTACCTTCTAGAACTTACTGCCCACACCTTACTTTTTTGAAATCTAGTGACTTCAGAGAGTGGGAACTGGGAGAGAGCAAATTTTATTCCTAAGATAGCTGGCAGACAACTGGTATGGTTCATCTGAGAGCAATACTCTGGACTGGCTAAGGTTGTGTCTGGGCTCCACAGGAGTCTCCGTGTGTGATGTACCCTTAAGGCTGTCTTCCCTAGGTAGTTACCCAAAGGCTGGAGTCAGGGGGGCTCTGGAGGCGAAGCTATGCCTGCACCCTGGCACTTTTTAACACAAAGGCAGGAGACAGTTTTCTTGTTTGTCATGTAGGAATCAGGTTAAGGTGCATGGTATCTGCTTAGCTGTTTTGTTGTTTTCTTTTTTGTGCTGGGAATGGAACTCAAGGCTTTGTAAATGGCAGGCAAGCACTCACTCAAACTCTACCATTGCGTGACACCCCCGCTACTAATATGAAACATTTGATGGTTTTTCTTTTTATTGGTTCTTAAATTTAAGACATGCCAGGTGCAGTGGTGTACACATTTTACCTCAGCACTCAGGAGGCAGAGATAGGCAGATCTCCATGAGTTCAAGGCCAGCCTGGTCTACTTAGCAAGTTCCAGGCTAGCAGGGGACTTTGTCTTGCCACAAAAAACTAAACAGCAGACAACAACAAAAACAACACTTTAATATAACTGAAAATGTCTTATTTAAATAAATGACTTGTAAAGCCCTAGGTGACACTAGAGAACTGGATCAATGGACTGTCTAGAATACTGGTCCTCTTCTGCTCCAAGCTGAGGAGTCCCTGGGAGATAAGCAACAGGCAGCTGCTTGGTCCAAGCATGGCTGAATATAAACCATGGAGGAGTTGTGGCCTTTACTGGGCCCCACATAGATGCCCTGCTTGACTTTCTAGGGTCCTGTTCAGATAACCCCTGAGAAGGCAGACAGGAACAGAAGGCTGTAGCCTGGGCAAATAAACTTACAGACATTAATCCCCCAACAAGATCAGTGGCGTGAGGGTCATCCTCAGCATTAAACTGCGGTGAATATAACTCAGTGGTTCTCAGAATCTCCAGCACACGGTTCAAGGCTTCTGTCACAGGCACAGGACTGTTTTCCTGGGCAGCGTTGATAATATTGATCACCTATATCAAGGAAATGGAAAGCCTGAGTTTTGTACCCTTAAAAACAATCAGAGAGCAATCAAGAGTCAAGCTGGTAATAGTTTGCAATTATGCCTGTAGGTGAATGTTACTCACAGTGTCTCCGTCACCTATCCTTTCTTCAGAGGAGACAATATTACACAACTGAAATAGCACTTTCATGCTGCAGGTCCCTTTTTTTTGTCAGAAGTCCCTGTGGGAGTACCAGGGACTCGCACACTCAGTGAAGACCAACCTTGGTGATGGGTGCCTCAATCATCATCGAATGTATCCGGGTCAAAGAGGAGTGTCTTCTCTGATTGCAAACTGTGGAGAGGGGGTGAGAAATCAGGGCACGTGCCTGTGTAAACACAAAGGGCTCTATGCCCTCCCTTCACAGTCATCAGGATGCTCAGCTGCACACAGACCGCACAGGAGCGCCTGCCGACTGAGCTTCCCCCGCCCTCACGTGGCAAACCTGGGCTCCGCATCACCACTCTGCCTCCTTCACTTCTAGGAGGCACATGGGACCCCATGGACTGAACTTCTGATGTCCCAGGCCAGAGAGAAGACAGAGGGAACAATTTAGCATGTCAAGGCCAAACAACCCCTTCTGTGTCTACAACAATAAGGGCTTGGTTTTGCCTCTTGCTGCACTCCAGGAAGACAGCTCTACACACCCTTTGTTCCCAGGTACGGCGGGAGCACTGGGTTAAGCCTTACCACTAACTGAAATCAAATAATTTCTCCTTCAAATTTCCAAGGTTCTCTCTAGTGCCTTCCTCTGGTATGTTTAATATTGGCTAATCAGGCAACAAGACTATAACCAAGTTTTTTTAAGTCATGTCCAGGCTTGGCTCCTCTGAGATGAGGGAAGCCTGGACAATGCACAGGCAGGAAAAGAATGTTCCCAGAGCCCCGTGTCTCTGTGAACACCCATTGTTAGGATTACAGAAGGCCCGTAAGGGTTAGAGACAGTCTGACAATATGCTTCAGCCCCAACTTGCCCTCAAGGAAACTGAGGTCCAAAGAGAAACACTGGCCAAGGCTAAGCAGGCCAGGAAGCCTCAAATGCTCTCAGTTTGGGGACCAAAAACACTTCATCTAATTTTTTTTAAAGGCTTATTTATTTATTATGTGTACACTGTTCTGCCTGCATGTACACCTGCACACCAGCAGAGGGCACCAGATCTCATTAGATGGTTGTGAGCCACCATGTGGTTGCTGGGAATTGAACTCAAGACCTTTGGAAGAGCAGCCAGTGCTCTTAACTGCTGAGCCATTTCTCTAGCCCCAATTTTAATAACTAGTATATGGCTGCCAATTTTACACTTTATACAATAAAGTCACTAAACCAAAACCCCACTGTGTTTACACCCGTCATAAAAGAATTTGCTCTTATTTAGAAATATATGAAAGCAATGTGTGCTTATCAGAGTAGAGAGCTGGTGGACAGCATGCACTGTACTTTGGAAATTTTCTAAGCGGGATTTTTAAGAATGTGAAGTAAAACATTTGTTACTTAGTTCAACTTAGTCATTTTACAATGCATACATAATCTAAAACAGCATGTAGTCTATGAAAAAAACATACACAATTTTAACATGTCAACTAAATGAAAATTTTATTTTAAAAATAATTTTAAAAAATCAAATAGCGTAAATGCAATGAGGTGAGAAAAATAAAAAGATATAACAATTTCTATGTGTATGCAGAGGACTCTGAAGAATCTGCAAATATACTCACTATCATGTTCTTACCAAAGTTACTGAGTAAAGCGCCAATGTACTAAAATGCATTGCATTTCTTTGTACTAATACTAAAGCCCATTGCATTTCTATGTACTAATGTCGTGTAACTAGAAGTGGGAGGAACACCATCAGAAGCGCTCACGAGGCCTGCCCCTCCCTGAGGGGTTATTGGCAGCTGATGGCTTCTGGGGGGGGGGGGTGGCCCCCAGCAGGTGGCCTGTGCATCAGTGACTGGCCCTGTGACCATGCACATACACGCAGCACTACATGGACTCAGTGGGTTAATTTAAAAAAAAAAAAAAAAAAAAGACATGAAATTGGGAGGGCCATGCTCATTGCATGTTAGAAACGAAACAGGTTGGTCAGCATGCATCTACATGGTCTTAAAAACTGTATTTCAGCTGAGCAAAGTGGCACACACCTGTAGTTCCAGCACCACGTGGGATGTGGAAAAAGAAGGATCGGGAGCTCAAGGGTCATCCTGGACGATACAGGGTGTTTGAGGCCAGCCTGGGCTATATGAAACCCTGTTTAAAAATAATTATATTTCAATCGAATTTAACAATATTTTCTACTCTCTTTTTCTCTCTTTTGGTTTTCCAAGACAGGATTTCTCTGTGTAGCCCCAGGTGGCCTCAAACTCACAGAAATCCACTTGTCTCTGTCAATCCCAGCTCTCTCAGAGGCTGGGATTAAAGGCATGCACCACCACCTCCTGGCTAAGTAACATTTTCTTAATAAGAGTTTTGTAATCTCCAAATTAGGCTTACCACTTCCAAAGGGAAAGTTTCCACAGTAAACTGCAAATGAAATGGAACTATCCTTCAGAATTACAAATGTGTGATTCATATCACGACAGCAGATCAACAAGACAAATCTACGGGCAAGACTTTAGAAACTCATACAGACTACCTGGTATCTATTTCTCTGCTTTCCTTGTTATGGACTCTCTCCAAAGGCTTGGGAATGGAGTTCACCCGTGTGGAGGGTGGAGTGGGACGCTACGGGGCCTTCTCTTTCTGTGAAAGCACAGTGCACGGTGAGCAGGAGCGAGGAGGTGGAGCGGCGAGGCTGGGCGTCCTGTGCTCAGGCCTACACAAGTCAGTGGCCACTCACCTTCATTTGTTTTGGAGGAAACTGCTTTGACCTCCAACGAATTTTTCCTCCTGTCTTTATGTTTGCCTGTCTGGTTATCTGTGGAAACAATTAAACTACATCTTTACAGAGATGTTAAGTGACATATTAACAAAAGACATAAAGCTAAATGTTAAAAGTCCACAAGTGTTAAGAATTCGAACACCACTAAGATACCACAGAATCAGCACTGTACATAGAAACAGAGCACAGACATACCTTGGTTTTGAAAAGATTTATTTTCTCAGAGCTTTACAGAGTCCAAAGACATGCAGAAACAACCAGAAGTGACCTTGGGAGAGGTTCTCCTAATGTAGTTAAATAAAAGAGAGGATTTTATCCTCATTCACCCTTGTCCCAAAGGAGAAACAAATACTTTATTTTCTCAGCAACATCCTGGGAGAATGTTCTTCTCTTCCCTAGGGTCACGTGGAGCACAGTCTGGGGTGCAGAATTAGCACTATCTGCCTTTTTCTCTTACTCCCTTTTCCAGTAAAAGAGGACACTGCTATTCTAGGCTCCAAATAGGAGTTCTATGACTTCTCTCTAGCCCTTGCCCCATATGATCACTTCCTGTCTGTCCGTCTGTGTACTTGTGGGTGCCTTGCATGGTGCTGAGAGCTTAGTAAACAACAACTATGCCCCATCTCACAGAAAAGGAAAAACAGTAATCAGTGGGTGAGTGCAGGGAATGCCCGGGCAGGCCGAGTCCGCTTCTCCCAGGATGTGGCTTAGCTTGGTACCCTAACCCAGTTCTTTCTTCTCTGCCTAAGGCATGATGCCATTGAAGGCCTCAAGTGTTCCTCCACACCATGGAGAAGGTTCCTCCTGTTTCTGTTTTGTGCTGGGAATGGACCTCGCAGCCTGAGCATACTAGGTGAGCACAGTACCACTGAGCTGTATTTGCAGCTCTGCTATTAGCTTCCTGATCCAACATAAGTCAGAGCCTCTTCTCCATGCGCATGTGTGCAAGCTGGCAAAGGCCATACGGCACCTTCCTGTTGCTAACCTCTTACTACATACAGTGAGCCCTCTTTCTGGCCACTTCTATTTGTAGAAGGCACACTCTCCCTGTTTTCTGTCCACCCTACTACTCCTTCCTCCATTCTTGCATGCTTTCCTGTTCCCTTGGCCCCCGGGCATTTCCAAAGAATGGGTTCCAAAGCTTCTAGCCTCATTCCTTTCTTTTCTCAGCAAACACAGCCTCCTTCAAAACGAAAACAAACAAACAAACAAACAAACAAACAAACCCAAAACTCTCACTGCTTCTTGCAGCTCTGTCTAATTTTCATGTGGCTGATGTACCCCATTCTCTCCTGAATCTCAAACTTACATCTTGATGGGCCAGTGACCATCTACATCTGGACACTCTTCAGTTACTGCAAGTTACCTCATTATACAAAATGAGCTTATCTTTTTCTAACTTTGCTCTTTATCCCCAAGCATTAGACAGGATCTACCCACTTGATCAATTCTTAACTGGCAACCAAAAGAATTAGACCATATCATCAGATTTTTCCTAATCACCCCGAGGATCGGCTTCTAACTCCTCAGGGTAGCACTCAGAACCCTACAGAGCCAGCCCCGATTCTCTAGACCCCGTGAAGTCTTCACAATGTGTCTGTCCATTCCGTAAACTTTTACATGTTGGTACAAACTACTTATTTAGCATTTCTCATGTTACCTCCTTTCCCTAGTTGACTGCTCCTCTAGGAAGATTCGGTTCAGGTACTGAAACCGTCCTGTGTGTGTCTCCTCATCACATCCCATCGGTGTAGGGTAACTGGTTTTATTGTCTGTTTTGCCAACTGTGAACAATCTAGGGGCAGAGCAGTCTTTCCTGGGCGGCCAGGGACAGCCTAGCACACAGAGAGGCCGAGTAAATGCATGCCTGCCTTGCTTGACACCTGCATGGGGGAATCACTCTGACGCTAACTCCCTTTTCAAAGTCCAGCAGAACAGTGAGCCCTGCCCTTCAGAGGTGGGTGCAGTCTGCCAGCAACAGCCTGCCTTTCCTTTCTCTCTGGTCTGGCTTGTCAGCCCAACTACCCTGCTTACACTTCTGTGAGTTGACATTATACTGGCCCCAGATGCTCCCTCCTCCAAATGACGCCTCCTCTCAACCATATGCAGTGAGTGAGTGGTAAGAGTCTTCCTTTCTCTAGGCTTCATGATGGCTCTGTTACACAACTGTCCAGTGAGCTGGGCTGTGAATTGTTTCTGTTCCCTCTCATCTACTCAGCAAATATTTACTGAGCACTTGCCCTATAACAGCTAAGACTGGAGTTGTAATTTAGATCTTGACTACCCTTCAAAGGCCCGTGTGCTAAAAGATTGCCCCTGCCAACAAGAATGGTGCTTTGGGGTCTGTGAACGTCGCACTCCCTCATTCATTCCCCAGAGAGCAGGGCATAGGGCACAGGGTCAAAGTGTGCAGGGTGCCTTCAGGAGAGGCGGCTGGTCATCTGGGGTATGTTCTCAGGCCCCTTCATTTTTGCCCCTTGTCCAAGAAGCAGTGGTCTCACTTTACCATACAATCCCACAATGTGTTGTCTCATCGTAGCCCAAAGTGAATGATGTTGAGCCACAATGTTCGTAATGGTGAGCCAAAAAAAAGGAACCTTTTCTCTTTATAAGTTAGTTCTTTCAGATAGTCCCTTGCAGTATTAGGAATGTGACAACAAATATGATACAGTTATGTCCCCAAAAGGGGTGGTCCAGTGGGAGCAAGGCAAGTGAGCAGAATTACAGTAATTTAAGTGAAGGGAGATCTAGAACAGAACACAGCCGAAAGCAGCATGAGATCAGGATGGGGTTGTGCCAAAGAGGAAGGAGAGAGAGCAAGGAGACTGAGCCTCCACTGAAACTTTATCTCTATGGAAATCCTAGATACTTTGCTCCCAAAAACCCTGCTAGGAATGCTATCCCCACTGTGTCCCTCCCTGTAGCTCTTTATGTGTGACTGTGGGACAATTTCTAACCAGCAGGCAGAGGTGGGCCATACATGCCTCGACCCATCCCAGCTCCCAGGTGCAGCCCTTAGGGCACAGCCACGAGACCAACGAGGAAGCATGAGGGTGGTCATTCCTGAAAGACTGCAGGCCCTGAAGAAGCACCATGCCTCGGGGCCCGCACAGCAGCGGGCGCTCACCGCATACACACAGCACTCTGATGCAGTATCATGCCTGCACACGGAAACAACTCCAAACAGGCCCCCACGACCAGGGCTTGAGCTTAGCACCAGCTGCAACACTGCTCTTGGTTTTCTGTTCTAGAAAACAGGATCCTTAATACTCATCCTTTCAGAGACATCGGCATTTTTGCAGCCTGATAGGACAACCGAGGGAATTCTGGAGAAGCAGTGTTGAGCAATGAAATACAGTCAGAACCCTGACTGCATGAACCCTTTGGCCTGGGAGCAGGAATTCCAGTCTGGATATGAGAAAGCTGAAGCCAGGTAGGTTACTGCTCTGTGACCTTGTCAGGCTGCTAATACACATGCCTGTGAGAAGTGCCAGCCTGCCAGCCCCAAGCTCCCTGGCTACCTCCAATCTTAGACAATAGTGCCTGCCTTCTTCCTGAGAGGGCTCTCTCTTTTCAGACATACAAGAACCTCTGTATCTCTTCAGAGGACTGTGCTGTGACATCTATAAGCAATGGTCCCAGCCGGGCATTGCGTAAGACTGTGAAGTATCTGAGGCCTTAGGCCCACCTCTTCTACCTGAACCATAGCTTGTCATGTGACGGCAAGCCACAACAGATTTATACTGCGTCCCTACAACCATTCTGTGTCTTTAGCTAGGTATAGCACCATCTGGAAATTACACATAGGGTAAGAAAAATGTAATGTGTGGGCCTTTATTAGTTTTCTAAATACCCGAACTCTCAATATCCCTTCTCTTGCCTGGGGAGCACCAGGTCCCTTTACAGAAGGTCTCACTCTACACATGAGTAGTGGATGACCTTGGCCTAGACAAATGAGCACCTTTCCAGAGTCTGCACAGGACCAAGGCCCTGAGCCTGGATCTCGCCAGAGCCAGTGGTGCCCAACTATGCTGCTCCCGTGGCATGCCTAACGTGGAGGCGGACAGCTGCCCAGTATCCTTTGGTTCCTGACTGCTTTCTTGAATTCTCTTACCCAATCTGTAAGGTGGCCTATTTCCTTCCAATAAGCCCCACTTCTGCTTGAGGACTGACCTCTGTTGTCTGTGGCCTAATGCCCACTCTTGCCCCATTGAGGCAAAACAGCCCCCAGACCTTTAGGTACAGAGTTGTTCTGCTCCCCAGGAATGAAGACAGACTAGGTGGTGGCTCATCTGGGGTGGCAGCAGCTCCTAAGAGAGCATTTACCAAGTACAACAAGCACAAACCTTGCCTGTACTTCCCCTGACCATCACTGATGGCCTCCTAAGCTTAGCTCTGTTATTTCCTAGCTGCCTAGCTCCCAGCTGTCATTTACCTCTCTTGGCTCTTGGTTGTTGTTGTTGTTTGTTTGTTTTTTTCCCATTTGCAAAAAAGGAGTGTTAATAAGTCATGTCTACCTGCTCTTCTGAAGAACTAAATCCAACAAGATGCCACTAACAACAAAATCAAGCAATGTGATCTGTGAGCTTGTAGCACAAACTCCTGCCATAGAAGCCCTGTATGCCGCTTGTGTTTTGACTCCACAGTTCCCCGAGGCTTGGCTTCTGCCCACTCTTCTCCCAGCCTGAGCACTGACAGCTCTCAGTAGCTCTTAAATGTAAGCCAGTCTCTGCACTGCTGCTCGGGTGCTTCATGCACCCTCTGTGCCACCCAGCCCTGCCACTCTGCACTTTCCCTGCTCTCAGCTGTCCTCCTCCCTCCTCTTCTGCCCGGCCGTCACAGGACTTTACCCCCACACTGTCACTGTCATTCTCTCCCACAGTAACCTTGATGGTCCTACTTCCCTTCACATTCTGGGCTCCATCTCAGCAGGTCTACATCTTCATCACTTGCTGATGCCTTTCTGGTCAGAAACATCTGTATCTCCTAATGCTTACCTCTTTGAAGAGCCTAGAAACAGTGACCAACAGACGGTCAATATGCACTATTAATAAACAGGACCACACAGGTAAAGTGGTCCACATTTATAGACCCACTCCTGACCACACCCTAATCTCCAGGCTCCGATACACTCTTTTGGACTTTTTCCTCATTTTTCTTTCTAATCCTGTATCATCACATTTGTTATCCTTTCTTACTGTCACCTCATTTCCTGGCCACCACTTCCTCTCCTCCCAGTCACAATGTGAGCAGCACGTCCTTCCTTTCCACATGAACAGCTGTGGACATGATAGAAGAACTTCTCAGAGCTCAAGTCTCTCCACGCTACCTCCTTGCTCCGAAAGTTCAGAGACTCCCATTCCTATGGATAAAAAGCCCGATTTCCTACCTGGCCTTTAAGGACCATGATTAATTCGAAGTCCTTACCCTGGCTGTGTGTCACTCTATATTCACTATTCCTCTTTCTGGAGCACACGCTATGCTCTTTCCCTCTTCCACAGCACCCGACGGAGAGCCTGCACTTTCTAGCCCTTTCTCTGTGAAGGCAAATGCAGGAAGCAGCTTGGCAGAGCCAAGACTTGAAGGAAACAAGCACTCTGAGGCAGAGAAAGGCCTCTGGACTACAACAAATGGTGTACGAGCCATGACTGGAAGACACGTGATAAGGCAAGTCTGGTGGCCCAGACACCTACAGGGAGGTAGCGACAACTGCTCCGACAGATGAAGGTGCTTCCGCTAATGTACTTCAGTTTGCCACCCCACCCTTCTGAGAGCTCAGCTCAGGTTGTAAAATCATACTCCATTCACTGTGTCTGCACACAAGCCATGCACTGAACCTACCACTTCTCTCCAAACAGGCTAGCATCCACCCCAGGCACTTGAGATGCCCACAGCACTCAAGTCCTTCAACCCAAACTGTGCCGGGGTAGTGCTGGTGCTAGGAGAACAGGGCCCACCACCGCACACAGCCGGCCAGTCAAAGAAAGGATCTGTGAGCTCCCCCAAACACTCAACCTTGAGAATGAACATAGGGCCTCGTACCTGTTTGACTGTCAGTCTGAATACACTCAGTTATGGTCTCAACCTAAAAATAAATTTTACAAGCCATTAGTTTTAATCACCTAGAACTCTTGCTTGGAATGATCAGGTCCTGGGGCTCTCCTTACCCACCTTATTGTTGCCATTGCACACTCTGATAATGGACACATAGTGTCTGATTTTTCTGAAAGTAGAAAACAATGTGTTATTTTTTTTCTCCTGACTCTAGTTATAGTTAATTTTTCATTATAAAAATACTTTCCTTTAGCAACATATGAAATGTTTTGAGAGTATTTTTCTTCATATATATATATATATATGCGCCAAGGCTATCAATAAATAGACAAAACTTTACAACTCTCTTATATCTTTGGGAAGAAGTGACTTCAGCAGTCATGTCCCTAGTTCTGACAGTAGACAACATGAAATACACGATTTTAACAGTGTGCTGCATGTTAGCCTTTAGTGTCCTAATGTGTCCTTTTGACCAGCATTGACACAGATACTCTTGAGTTACAATAGTCTCTTATAGTCACTCTTGGAGAGAGCCACAGGCCACAGAAGCCACACAGGCCAAGGTTTCTGCTAGCCTTGGCTAGTCAACATCTAAAGCCAAGCAACGAGGCCTGAACACAGACGCTGCTAGCTTGCCAATTGATTTACTGTTCCTTCAGTTTCTTTTACCCCGCCCCAATAATCAAACCCCTATATATTTATCACAAAAAAGTGGAAAGGACATAAAAGAGCAAAGACTAAGAACAGAGAGTCCACACAGATCTGCCTCCCTGAGGCAATCACCAACTGGCAGCAAAGTCTGCTGACAAAGCACTCGAGCTGTGCAGTTGGCACTGAGGGCTGCGCCAGGCACCATCATACATGGCAGCCAGCGCTGAGGCCAGAAATCAGTTTCCTCCTATATAAAGCAGAGACATCACTGTGATGACAAAACAGAGTAGCATTTAGAATAAAATGGAAATGAAACGACATCTCCCACTACCCAGGAACCTGGCTAGAGAGGGAAGTGTTTGGAGAACAGAGGCAGTTTCTGACACCATGGGCCCACACTTCCTCCTCCTGCCTCCTTCCCTTTTGTGAATGTATCATACACTAGGTCTGACTTTATATTTTGCATTTAAAGTATAGTAAGGTCTTTCCTTACAGTATAATTTTTCATGATGATCATTTACTAAATGATATTTTACTGTTGGGTGTGCTATAATTCATACTTAGAATTTTCTCTGGAAACATTATTTCGAATAAGTCTGAGGAAAGGCATCTAAAAATTTTAGACTCTTGATACATACTTAAGCTTTATAGTATGTGTATGTGAACACATACATGCTTGTCCATGTGGCCATGTGTGGAGGCAGAGGTTGACATTGGGATGTCTTCCTCAATTGCTTCTCCACATCATCAATCATCATCATAATCATCATCATCAATCATCATCACCATCATCACCATCATCAAGACAGGGTCTCTCACTGAATCTGGATCTCGCCATTTCACAGATCTCTACCCATCAATAATAGGGTTATAGCCATGCCGTCACACTGGTTTTTATGGAGGTGCTGAAGATCTGAACTTAGGTTCTCACGCTTGCATAGCAAACACGTTTCTCAATGAACCTGCTCTCCAGCCTCTAAAACATCTGTTAACATCCAAACTATTTTTCTCTAATGTGACAGGCCTTTGCAGAAAAAACTACTTCCAATGAGATAAAAAGCTTACAAACACAGAGGCACACATGATTTGAATATAAACATTGAAGTCTCTTGCAAATCTATACAGCATAAAGAAGACTGTCCGTCCTCGAGGAACCCCATCCTGGAAGGCCATCCTGTGAGACCCCTTGAGGTTTTTACACGTCTGTGAGCAGTTTTTAGTTTACTTAAGTATTCAAAGCAAATTCAAAACACTGACTGTGGATCGAAGCACATTTCCCCACTTACCCTCCCTGCCCAATGACAGGTATTATCTTCACATTTTGTTGTATATTTTCTCCATTTTTCTTTTGAGTATAGTAAACTCCTTGCCACTCCTATAAATAGAATGCACACATTATTACACTTTGGGTTTAAAACATAAACTCAGGAACTTTTTCCATTTTTGTTTTGATTCATTAGTCACCATGAAAGAACTCAGGATAAAACATGATCTCAATTCCAGTAACCTGATATTCTTCATCACCCCCTCAAGTCCACTTGATAAAAGTTAAGCTGCCTCAGTGTAAGTGGTCATGTGCTCCATGGTCATCTGCTGGCAAGAGAGAGGTCCCTCACTTCAGGGCACTGAGGCCGCCTCTCTCAGCTCCCAACAGATGCACAAGGGAGAGAATAAGCACTTTGCCTCGACACTCAGTGTAGGAGAAACCTCAGGCCACAGAAGGGCACAGGGCACAGGCTCTTCTCAGGACACAGAAGAGCAGTTTGTGGCCATTATTGTGGTAGGCTGCTACTAGCTTCATACTCTGAGTGTCTGTAGCCCTTCAGGAATCAGAGGTTTTAGTCCCTCTGCAGGGTGGGATGATGCAGCAGCTAGGCTAGGGCTCAGGTAGCAGCAGAACAAGAAGGTGAAGATGAAAAGCATGAGGTTGTGATTTTAAGAGCCCACATGACCAGAACCAGGGATCCTTTCAATAGAAAAGCATGGCTGAGGAGGAAATAGGGCACATCTTCCCTTGGGGTGACGAGGGCAGCTAGGGATTTGTCATTATTACCAGCCAATATTCTGAATTCATCTGACAAGTCACTTAGCTGCAAAGCTATGAAAATCCCTAAAAACCTCCTGCTGAAAATGGACCTGGAGGCAACAATAATGTTCTTGGTCCTTTGGAACTCTCAGAACCCAGAGCTGTAAGACACTCAGTAGATACTGACAATGATTAGGGATGCCCTAATTCTGAAAACGCTCTTTTTTTTTTTTTTTCAAGACCATGTCAAAAACAGCTAACTCTGTATGCAACTAGTACCAAACAGAAGAAAAAACAGGCCACAAACAACTAAGTTCTGAGTGCAGCCAGCCCAGAGATGGGCTGTGCCCAAGACCAGCAAGGAAGGAGTAGGCAGTCCTCATCCCCACGGCTCATGGGGTCACCCTGGAAACAGACAGCTCTGAGAGGGCTATCAGGGGTAATGTGGGAAACTGTCTAGATGCGGGACAACTACATTACACGAATATACTTAAAATCCCTGAGTCGTGTGGTTTTGTCAGCGTGTCTGAGGTAGGCTCTCACTATGCAGCTCTGGCTGCCTGGAATTACCACACAGGCTAGACTGGTTTCAAACTTGCAGTGACCTCTTGCCTCTGCCTCCCAAGAGCTATGAACTGTAAACTTTAAATTGGTGGATTGTATGGTGTGGGAATTACATCTCAATAGAACTGTTGCATTATAAAAGAAAATAGGAAAAGAAGTAAAGAAAAAGAAACAGCAGGTCAATAGGATCAAACCACCAGCATGTTGAAAAATATATTCAGAATTTCCTTCTCTAGCTCTTTCTGAATAAACGCAGACAACTGACAGGTCTAACAGGCCATGCCAGCACCACAGTTCCCCCAAAGAAGCAATAACCTGGCTGGGGGAACAATGTTAAAGCTACATTTTCTAGTCACAGCAAACATCTACTGTAGTTAGCATGAACCATATTTACTAATCATAAATATACAAAACATTTAGTTCTGTATCACTGTGACCTTGACCTTCTGAGAGTAAGATTACTACCTTAGATTGCAGTCATAGAGATTTATAGCTGGCAAGTCTGCCACAGGCGAGTCCAGGAGCAAGCCAATTTGGGGTACAGCTGCTTTTGCACAGTCCTGTGCCCACATGAGCCCCCCCACTGCACACAGTAAGACTCGTGCTTCCCTGCTGCTGTCTGGCACAAGCTACATACCAGGCTGGGCTTCTATGGCTATTGATGTAGTTCTCTTTGGCAAAAACACTGTCATAAAATTAAGTCATTGTCATCCAGCTGTCCTGTCCCCAAGGCTGGCACAGTGCTTACCCATGGTAAACAATCAAAGAACACATGAGGCTTTTGTTTACAGAGTGACTGAGGTCAACTCTGGAATCTTGGTCACCAGGCTAAGCAATCTGAACACTATACTAGGGGATCAACATATAATCTTGGGATGAGGAGAGCTCATGGGATTTGCCCAGCATAACTGTGGGGTGTGAATAAGTCCTGGAGCAGGTCAGGGGCACACAATATACACTCAAAACAAGGAAGTCAGCAACCAGTGAGATGAGTGATGGACTTGAAGGAGGCAAAAGGCAGCAGGGACCAGTTATTCTAGGAATCTAGACAAGGTAACTTGTAAGGACAGCTTATGAACAGAGAGACTGACTAAAAGAGATACTGGATTTTTTTATTCATGAAGAGTGAGAGGAAAATCATTCTCTGACAATTTAATTTCAAGTGACAGCAGGATATTGAGGGACCAGGGCAAGGGAGCAAAGGTCAGAGTCCAGGTAATTTGTGGAGGAAACAGAAGAAAGTACAGCAGGGAAGCAGAGCTTGTCAGTGAGGAAGGAGGAAGGATCACAGGAAATAAAGCAGGTCAAAGGGTTCTGAGGCCCCACATCAGCATTGACAGGCATCTGAACAACCAGCATGTATCCTGCACTGAGAAGTCTGTCAGTCACGGGTAGGGCAACAAAAGGAAAAAAGTCAAAATGTCTAGACAGGGAAAGGCCATGTAAGGCTTAGCTACCTAGAAGACAGAAAATTTTAAGTCCCCTGACAGCAGCATTATGGAGAAGAAGGAAAAGGATACAGGAAAGCACAGATGTGAACCTGAAGAATCAGGTTAGCAAATCTACCCACCCCAAAGGGAGACACAGGTGGAAAGGTTTGTGGAGGGATGAGTGGCTGCCATACTCTGCTTCAACAGCACGGGGATTTCACCTCTCACCCAGCAGTTCCAAACGGATTTCACCACCTAGAACGTGACATCCTGGTGCCTAGCTCTGCCATCTGACCATTTGCTGAGTTTCCTCTCTTCTGCCATGTTTGTCTCCAGTGGACAGTTGAGCTCTCCTTGCTAATCACAACATGATGGCTCCACAAGGCCACTGACCCTTCCACTAGACTGTCCTCTTCAGAGACTGAACTGGACAGATGTCTATCCTCTCACCTCAGCACACCAGCAGGTCACTGAGTATGTAGAATCACCTTTTCACACTCCCCCAAACTCTGAAATATAACAACAACAACATCCCAAAACAAAACAAAAGCAACTAAGGCCAGGTGGCTGTGGCTCACGCCTTTAATCCCAGGACTCAGGAGGAAGAGGGAGGTGGATCTCTGTGAGTTCAAGGCCAGCCTGATCTACAGAGCAAGTTCCAGAGGATAGCTAGGGCTCTGCTACCTAGAGAAACCCTGTCTCAAAAGCAAAAATAGAAAACAAACTAACTAACTAACCCCTCTGAAAAACACTAAACAGCCAGATTCCTTTCAGAAATAGAGTAGCAAATAGGCCAATGACATGCAAGTCTCTCTGGGTTTTGCTCAGAATCATTTCAACTCTCTGGCTACTCAGACTTGAGGCTTTCGGCACTGTCCCCAGACAGTGTTAGCTCAGCAGATACTGTGTACACAAACCTGACACACTGACCACATGCCCCATCACCATTTGCTCTCCTTAGGAGGAGGGATCCAGCGTGCCTGGCAGGGTCTCAGCTACTTGATACTCAACTACAAAACCACTAGCTAAAAAAAAAAAAAAAAGAAAGCCAGGCATGCTAGTAAACATCTTTACCCCTGGTACTAGAGAAGCAAAAGCTGGTGGATCTCTGAGAGTTCAAGCAGCCTGGTCTATGTAGAGAACTTGTCTCAAAACAAAATAAAACAAAGCCAACAACAACAAAACCACTGGCTCCAAGTATCACCAAAGGACCAAAATGACAGAACTGAATGGCCAGCGGAAAGCCCTGAAGAGAACAAGTCATCTAACTGAGGTCAGTTTATCTGCCTTTGTTCCTCTCCTCAGAAGAGCCTCCACTCCTTCTAGTAAGACAAAGACCACTCTGAACTTAAAACTTGAAGGCAAGCAGGATTCAAGCAGTGCCTAGCTAACCCTGATAGTACTGCTGGGCCCTTGCACTCAGCCTGCTCTTTCTGTGTTCTTGTGTTTTGAGACAGAGTCTCACGATGTAGCCCTGGCTGTCCTGAAATTCACTATGTAGGCCACGATGGCCTCAAACTCACAGAGATCTACGGGCTTCTACCGCCTGAGTGCTAAGATTAATGGCGAGTGCCACCACGCCCAGCTTCTGTGTTCTTAATTCAAGGTAATCTCTTGTTCTTGCAGCCACAGGGAAAGTAAAGGGAAACAGAGCTCTTCACTGTGTCTTCAAAGGGCCCAGCCCAAGGGCAACTGAACCTGTGTGTGGCCCCTGCCTACCGGCACTGGGGAAGAAGCTTCCCTACTGTGGCCGCAGCAGTTGATAGCACAACCACTTACCAAATTTTAAAAAAATGTTCCAAATACTCCTAGTAACAGGTTCTCAATTTTGAAAAACAAGGAAAAGTTCAATAAAATGATGAAAAGTAACTGACTGGACTCTTTCTTCTCATCACAGCCACAAGCCTGGCACCAGGGAGGCACTGACAGATCACAGAAGGAGGTCTGGCTAAGTGCACCTGCAGACTCCTTTAGCACTGTGATCAGAGCTTCTCACACTGTCCGAAATGATCCCTTCTCTTCCCAACTCTGGAAAAATGAGTTCCTGAGGCAGGTGTCCTTGTTCTGACCATCTGCCATCCTATGGCAGAATTAGCAAGGTGCCTGGCACACAGCTGACATTTGAAAATTGCTCAACAAATGACTGAGGCTTAGACATGCTCTGAGGGTGTACTGCCTCACTGGCAACCCTCACCTAGACCATGTGCCACTTAAAAGATCAGTTATCAGGAACACCACTTTTCCAGGACAGCCAGAGAAACCCTGTTTAAAACAGAAAGAGATAGAGACAGAGATACAGAGAAAGACAGAGACAGCAAGAGACACAGAGGGAGAGACCAACTTATTCACCCACCACTCAGAAGAAAACTGATTTTAAGGTCAATCCCAGGGACCATGTTTACTGGCTGGCTAATCGTATCGCATCGTTGGCTTCAGTCTCTGCATCTGTAAAGTGAAAGTAACAGGGTGTTCTGGGAAAGGCTGATACAACTAAGACCACGTGCCACACAGGGTACTCAATGAACACGAAGCCTTCCCGCCTTACCTGGAAGCAATAAAGGTACTAACGTCCTACTTACCTTGCCTATTGTGATGCACGAATTAATGGCATCGAGCAAGTCACCTTTCTTTTCGTTTATGGGCACTTGTGCTAACTCCTTTCCTATCAATTCACCTGACTGATAACCCATCGTTGTTTCAAATGCAGGGTTTGCATACTGAAAAGAGACAAAAGAGAAAAGAATAAGTGGATTTAAGATGTCTCGAGAAAAAGAAAGGTCTTCTCTCTAAGCACCACCCTTGAAAACTCAGCAGCCTGGAGTTTCATCATGAAGGTTCTAAAGCCACGAGCACTTTGCGTCCTGGAGAAGCTTCTGCTCAGATGACACACAGCTTTCTGCTGTGTCCTTCTGAGACTCCAGGAAGGCCACAGGTTCAATCCAGCTTCTATGAAAGGAAGGCATGTTCTCAGGACAAACCCAGGCTGCTATACCAGAGCTGCCCAGACGCTGCCATAGTGAAACAGTGCCAGGCTGGGCTGTAAAACAGCGAGGCTCTGCCCTCTGGAACCTGGCAAGTCACTTCACCTGTGCTCGTCTGGATGGGGAAAATGAAGACATGCCTCTCTGGTAAGACTCAAATGAATACTGTGTGCAACTCAGGCTAGAAACTAGAAAGTGTTTATGAATGAAATGTTTAATGACAAGGAAAAATATATAAGAATGCTGAGCCTGTGTTGGTGATGACAATGAAAAAGAAATGATAAAACAGAAACTGACAGTCATTATCAAGATCTGTTCTCCTTACTAGACACTAAAGTAAGCACTTTACATACATGAACTCGGGTGATCCTCAAAACTTTATGAAAGGTAGGTGGCTGCTGCTCCTCTGTACTAAGAGAAAGCATCTCTTCCATCTGTGCTAAGAGAAAGCAGACTCAGCCAGATGAAGTAACTTGCCCAAAGATGCAGGATGAACATGGCAGACAGATGCCTACACCCTCAACTCTTGGCCTCAGTTGTCTCTTAGCACCAACTCCCAGATGCCAGCACCAGTAACAAAAGGAGCCATAAGTTAATATTCAATAAACTAAAACCAAAATGGAGTTCACTCCCAGATTAAAGAAATGCTGCATCTTTTAGTAAAAGCCATGTTATCTTTATAGGTATCTATTTATCTCTTACAGAAACCAGCTTTGCTAACAAGAGTAGTCTAGTCTGTTATTTTCTGAAATTTTAACTGTTTTTAGTAAATTTATACAAGTTTAAATTGCCTCCAAAAACAATGAGGAAAGATGTGAGCACAGTGAAGAAGCTTGCATGTATGGCTAGCCTGAGGGCAAAGTCGCTCCTGGCTAAGCAAACACCCAGCCACCCTAGGAGAAATAATAAGAAAAGAGCTGGCATTTCTACATTTCTATGCCATAAGTAATCATTTTCTTATCTAGTTTATTTTATATTACACATTTTATTGATTTTGCTGTTACAATCATCTCAGGGGGGAAAAAAAGGGCTCTTAGGACTTCAAAAGGAAAAAAAAATCGATTTGTAAGGCTACAATCCTCAAAGTGAGAACAAAATAAATCCATAAGCATAAATTTCCAAAATAACAAACCTGTATAATGTGGTCTTCACTTGTAATTTCAATTGCTTCTTGACTTTTCTCTAATGCAGTGAATACTGAGTTACAAGCCCTTTATGAATAGAAACAAAAGGACTGATAAATGTATTTACATTAATCATAGTTACTAAATCTAACACACTCGTGGGGTATTATATAGAGTAGCTTACTTATGTGTCTAGTGCCTGGCTTATAGAGGTTAACATGTGCTCATTCAGAAGGAGGTAGGGGAGATATTTAAGAACATAAAGAAGACCTTCTACAACCCCAATACTTGCTGTGCACACCAGGAGAGCTACATGCCAGTGTAGCTGTGGTCCCTGAGCCTCTAGTGTTGAAAAGTGCCCTTTTTCAACACTAAAGCACCTTCATGGGGTCTAAATGAGAGAAGAGAGTCAAGATTGCTGCACAGAGCCTGCCAGAGGGGAGGTAGCCAGCCGTTTCAAAGTATTATTTTAAAATGGTCACAGTACTGGGGGTGCCTGGATGGCCAGCTTTGTTGCCTGCTTCCTTAGTTAAGTCTTATTCCTCGAGCACATTCCCATACCTGTCATGTTTGAAATGCTTTCTTAATTATACAGGTTAATAAATGTTTATTGACAAAAGTTGGAAAATAAAAGATAGCTTATCGCTCCACTATAAGATAAAACAGGTAACAAATACTAGTGATACCATCATACATTGTTCATATGAATGTAAAATTGGTGCTGCCCCCATTTTGGAAAACAGTCTAGAAATTCTTCAAATAGTTAAACAGAAAATCACTTAGCTATACCTACTCTTTACTGTGTACTTAATAAAAATAACTGTTAACACAAAAATTTGGCCATAATACTTGGCAAATACAAACAGCTCAAATGTCCACCAGTAAAGAATGAACAAGTAATATGTGATATATAAATATGATGGAATATTGTATAGATGTAAAAGTCAGTGAAGTCTGGCTATACATGCTATGCTATAGATGTGCCTTAAAAAACACTCTATTTAAATGCAAGAAGTCAGTGACAAAAGATCACACACTATGATTTCATTCATATGAAATGTCTAATACAGGCCATTCCAGATGTAGAAAGTCAAATACGGGTGTGGGCTTAGAGTTAATAAAAATGTTCTAGAATTGTGGTGATGAGTGCACAACTCCGGGAATGTAAGAAAACCACTAAGTATGTAGCTTAAATATGTAAAGAGTATGTGAAGTATATCTCAGTAAGGTTGTTTAATAAATGAGGTAAGAAAATCTCAACCGCCAATGCTTAGACATGTCAACATATATCAGGGGCTCTTGGACGTTTCTTTTACAAACATATGTCAACATGTATATTTATTTAAAATGTAATCGTTCTTACAGTATTATCATCTCCGTTTCTCACTGAACATATATCAATAATTACGGTTCTCCATCACCACATCTAATAATCATAAATATTTTATTATAAGGTTCCATCAAAATATATTCAACAAACACCCCTGATGAGTCATACGGGCTGCTTCTAGGCTTTTGTCTTAGATAAGGAGCCTCCCAAAAGCATGACCAGAAGGCCCCCTTAGCTCACAAGACTAAAAACACAAGTAACTGCCTGCTTACGCACAATAGCGTTGCAACAATAGTAACTATAACTTTTAAAAGCTATAGTGCTATTACATTCTAATCTTGCTCAAGAAAGTTGTTATTTAAAACAAAAGAAGGCCTGTGAGATGGCTGCAAGGGTGAAGGGCCTTGTGCTAACCCTGACCACCTGAATATGATCTCCAGGACCCACATGGTTAGGAAAGAAAGAAAAGACTCCCAAGGTGTCCTCTGACCTCTACATTACACGGTATGTGCCAACACCCAGGTACACAAACCAACAAAATACATAAATCAGTTTTTAATTACAAAAAAAAATAGAAGGCGCTGGAGAGTCGCCCCAGTGGTTAAGAGCACCTACTGGTCTTCCAGGGGACCTGAGTCTGGTTCGCAGTGCCACACCAGACAGGTTCCAGCGGCCTGTAACTGCAGCTCCACGGGATCTAACACCTTCCCCTGAGCTCTAAAGACTCACATGCACGAAGCCCCCACAATACACACACACACACACACACACATCTAATTAAAAATACTACAATTAGTCTTTTTTAAAAATCGAGGCCAGAAAGATGGCTTAAGGTTTACAGACATGTGCTGCTCTGTCAGTACACAGTTCAGTTCTCAACACCAGGTCAGGCAGCTCCTAACTGCCCGTTACTCCAGCTCCAGGGAATCCGATGCCTCTGGTTCCCGCAGGCACCTGTGTTCACGTACACACACCCCATACACATAATTAAAACTAAAACCCTAAAAACAAAAACAAAAACACAGCTGGTGAGATGACTAAGTTGATACAAAGTACTTGGGAGACAGAAGCAGGCTGCGCTCTACCAGACCATCCTGGTCTACATGGTGAGTTCCAGGCCAGTCATAGCCTTGTAGCGAGATCCTGCCTCGGAATCAAACAACAAAGCACAAAGAGAAGCTCCACCTCTGCCACAGGCAGCTCGGAGGGCACAGACCTGAGGAAGCCCCCCTGGGAGTCCTCGTTCTTCTTCAGCCAGAGCAGAACTGCCAGGTAGAAAACGTTATATACCTGCTCATTTTTCTTTGATTACTAGTTTCAGCTGAACTTCTTTTTGTGTTTTCTGACTTGTAAATTGTTTGTGCATATCTTTCAAAGATTTTTTTTTTTTTACTGGAGTATTTTATTATTTGATTCATCAAAGCCCCTTATTTATGGTATTAGCCTAATGCCCACTGGATATGCAACAAATAATTTTTTCCATTCAGTTTCCTATCATTTGTTTGTTTTTGTTTCATTTTTAGAGATAGGGTTTCTCTGTGTAGCATTGGCTGTCTTAGAATCTTAGGCCTCAAATTCACAGTGATCCACCTGCCTCTGCCTCCCTGAGTGCTGGAATTATAGGCACGCACCACTGTGCTAGCTCAGTTTCCTATAATTTAACATTTCAGGGTTTATTTCTTTTTAAGTTTACAAAGGCTTAATGTTTTTCTGTAACTTGTTTGGTTTCTCTTCCTTTGTGAAATTCAGTTTTTAATGCCATGCTGACTTTAAAACTACTTCATCATCCAATCAAATATTTTGCTTATATTTTTTAGCATTTAACATGGCTCCACATTTGAGCTTTTTTCATTGGTGGTTATTTGGGATAGGGAGTGAAACTGTGGTACACTAATTTCTTTTCCAGATAATTAAAGAGCTGTCATAATCATACTCACTGAAAAGCTCACCTTTTTTGTGTTCATTTGGACTGCCATGTTGATCAGGCCCCAGTCTCTACATTTACTCGGGCCTGTTTCTGGATTTTACATTCTAGTTAGTGACATAGCAGTTAACAAGGCTGTTTCTTCCAGCTTTCTAGCACCTGTCACAAGAAGTCCTCCTTTATTCCACTGTCTCTAGTCCCACCTTTCCCTTTATAGTTTTCTCTTTTACTTTGTAATGTCCATCTCTGTAGGCTGTCGGCTAGAACAAGGCATGATGGGAGGGAGAAAGGAAGTGCAACGTTAGATTCAGGAGAGTCCTGGGGGCACATTTGGGGGTCTGAACTTCACCTTGAACTCAGTGGAGTATTGCAAGACAGAAACACAAATGGGAGTTACATGTTATTCCATGTGAAGAACAGACAAAAGGAAGTCAGAGCTAACTGTAGGGAGACTGACTAGGGACTCAATAATCCAGGCAAAAGGCAGTGACCTGGTATACTATAAGAGCAAGAGAAGACAAAATAATAGGTCCAGAGAAACCCAAAAGAAGAGTTGGGATGTAATGAGAACAAGGTTTAGGAGTGGGTAAAGGGGACCCTGGGGTTTCAGTGCAGGACTATATGATCACCACGCTAAAGTATTGAGGAAGAAAGTTTGAAGTTAGTTCAGGTTCAAGAGACGGGGAAAGAAAACAACCACAGCATTAGAAACATAAATTATAGGCCAGGTGCAGCTGGCGCACACCTTTGACTCTGGCACTCAGGAGGCAGGGGCAGGCAGATCTCTGTGAGTTCGAGAACAGTCTGTGATAAGACAGTGAGACCTTGCCTCAAAACAGATACCTACAGAAGCAAATATGAATTACAAATAAATGAACTAACTGACATTTGCTCCTTGTGAGCTCTTAAGTGAGAGTCAGATAACGTCTCTGAGCTCATTTTCTGCACGCAACCTTTAAACATTACTGCTTAGCGGCACTGGTTCTACACTGACTCTAGTAATTAATTTCATTCTGTCTCTGATGTGCTTGTCTTTCCTGCACATGCGGCCTTCTACTGCTGCCTACAAGTTTTAACACTCCACTTTCCGTAGCTTTTTATCTGCCTCAGGCATATACATGCAGGACAATGGCCTCTCTCTTTGATCCCCAAGAAAAGAAATGTTAAAAATGGACACAGAAGAGATACAAAACGAAGAGAATGGCTGGTTTTATTTTTCTTCTGTGAACCTGGTAGTATTTTATAACTTTTTCTTACTTGATCTACAAATATCTAGACTTCTACTTGTTTCTTATTTAAAAAAAAAAAAATCCTTAGCTGCACATGGTGGCACAGGCCTATGATCCAAGCACTTAGGAGGCTAAGGAACGAGGATTCTACGTTCAAGGCTACCCTGAGGAATACAGCAAGACCCTGTCTCAAAACAACAACACAAAATATCTTCACCAAAACCAAATTATGCCAAACACAATTTGCTCATGATTATAACCCCAACACTTGGGAGACAGAGGCAGAAGGATCAGGAGTTCAAGGTCAACCTTGGCTACACAGCAAGTTCCAGGCCAGCCTAGACTACATGAGACCCTGCCTCAGCAAACAAAAAGAAAATGAATGACAAAATTGGCAATGTAGAGTAGGAAAAATATCAGTTGCCAGAGAAAAATAACAACACATTGGGTGTAGTATATTTAAAGTATTTCCCTTAGCACACGAAACAGAAAATTTAGCATGTGTGGTTTTGTATCTTACTTTTTTTCTCATTTACTACTGCCCTGATGCCTCATGTTTAAATGGGAGTCATTCATCAGACACTGAGACAGATTCCAGAAAGTCTGCCTCGGCAGCACTGGCAGCCTACTGTCCATCATATCACTAAAACAAAACAAAACCAAAAACCAAAAGCAACAACAGAAAAAACTCTGTGTGCAAAGACCAGAGGTCAACACTGGGCGTCCCCCTCAGAGGTCAACACTGGGCATCTTCCTCAGAGGTCAACACTGGGCTTCCCCCTCAGCTGTTCTCCACTTTAGTTTTCGTGTCAGAGTCTCTCCCTGAACCTGGAACTCACTGACTTGGCTAGACTTGCTGGTCAGCAAGTCTCAGGGTCCTTCTGTCTCTTCGGTGCAGGGATTACAGGCACACCCAGCTTTTCATGTGGATGCTGGGGTTCTGAACTCAGATCCTCGTGTTTGCACATGACTGACAGCCAACTCACACCTATCCATTTTAAGTGGTATCAATTACGGCCAAAAGACCTTTGCTTGCAAGTTTGCCCTGGGGACTAGAGGGCTTTTTAGCAGGAACAGAATTACCTGAGTTTCAGCTGTGATCGCACTTCTCCAAACGCCAGCTGGAGCAGTTCATTGTAACAGGCCATGATGTTGGGATTTTCTATATACCTCTATAAACAGAAAGGGGAGCTCTGTAGACAAAGAAGCACTTTGATGCATGCCGCAAGAGAAATCCTAAACAAACCTTTCAATTTGGCTACTGAAATTTTAAAAACCTACTTTGTAATCATTAGTGAACAACAGAAGACGAGAGATGGAAGTTAAATGTACCAAATTAGACTCACTAAGGTTCTCTGCTTATCTCCTGTCACTTATAAAGCTAAGGTTAGATTCTATAGAAAGTAAATTTATTAACCAAAGTCTTGCTTATATTGGGTTTTCAAGAAGTTTCTGAAATATTTTGTCCTATTTAAAGGCAGGTAAACTCCCTGTGCACAGAAGCACATATACTTCTACCTAAATCTGTGGCTCATGGAGGGAACTCCTACTTGGGGAACATTTTCCACTAACTGCCAGAGGCTGGCTAGTGGTCACTGTTCACAGCAAGGGAGCAGGAGAGGGCAATCTTCCCAGTGTCTCTTCCTGGTGTGGACATTAAGAATTCTGTGTGATAAACTTCATATCATGGAAAAGTCCTACAACAAAGCAAACTGCATAGTTATGAGAAAATGGATCCATTCAACCATCAAATAATACACTGCATAATGATATCTTAGAAGTTACTATGTTGTCACATACACTAGTCTCAGGGTATCTCCACAGAGACTGCACAACTCCCTCACAGAAAATGGCACAGCATTTACATATAAATGATGCTCCCTTCCCATACTCTAACGACCTCAAAAACACTTACACTACCATACACGAGATAAACCCTGCATAAAGAGTTGTTATACTGTATTATGTTGAGAATGATAACAAAACCTATACATGTTCGCATGTAAACTATCCTTCCTGAATACTTTGGGCCTACAATAGGAAAAGTCTACTGACACAGAACTGGCTAAGAGGGACTCACGGCTAGAAGTCCAGCTGCAGCTTCACTCTGACAGAAAACACTCATGAACACTGACTTACTCCTGTTTCTGCAATGAGTTATTTGCTTTTACCTGCACAATAAACGCATAGTAACTGAGAAGGAAACTGAAGCCTAAGAGAAAAAGCCTCTGCAGACCACTGTCTACCAACTGCAGCCAGATCAATTTGGGACATGGGCTGTTTGAGGAGGTCCTGCTACTGCTAAGGTGAAGACAGAGGTCCATGATCAGTGTCTTGTCTGAGTGACAAGCAATCTAGATTCATGTGGACATGCCAGGTTCATGCCTTAAAAGCTGTATGATCCTAATGAGACACTCTTCCTGAGCTTGCCTCTTCGTTTATAGACAAGAGACATAATGCTGTTCGCAACCACCACAGACCTTCATGAGGGCAGAGACGGCAGGAGAAGGCATTCTGCTTCCAAACTGCAACAGGGCTGAAAAGACTAGGTAATGGGGCTAGAGAGTACTCCATGGTTAAGAGCACTGACTGCTCTTCTGAAGGACCCAATTTCAATTACCAACACCTACATGGCAGCTAAGAACCAAGTTTGGTTCCAGAGAAATCTGACACCCCTTTTTTGCTCTGCTGGCACTAGGTACACATGTGGTACAGACACATGTACAGGCAAAACACCCACAACACACAGATAGTTTAAGGAAAAAAGAAAGAAAGAAAAGCAAAACTAGTGCTACACAGCAGGGAAGGGGCAAGGACTGAGGGACGTGATAGGTCTGCATGCTTGTGGGCCAAGCCCATCTCACTCAGAGGTCAGTGACGACTGTCCCACCTCCGGACAGGGATGCAAAGCACTGGACCTGTGGCCCATGACAGCTAAGACTCCAGGCTACCCAAGATGGCTGTACCTACATATAGGTGCCTACTGTTGACTAGCCAGGAACAGCAAGGAGGGATTTCTGGGTATGGTGCTCATGCCACTGCACCAGATGAAGTGAAGGCCTTGAGACAGAGAAGGGTTAATGGCTGCTCTGCAGGTGAGACCTTGGGACAAAAAATCATGTCTGTTTATGCACTTCAATAAATAGCCTCCCATGTAGCCAGATTTTTCATTGAGTAGAAATGAAACTATTTTTACCCTCAATATGCTGAGATTACAGGTATGTGCCTCTAAACCTATCTAATCTCTCAACACCTTTTAATTTTTTGTCTGTGTGTGTTTGGGAGCTGGGGATCAAATCCAGTGCCTTCTACATCCTAAGCGAGCTTTCTTCCACTCACCATGTCCCCAGCCTCCACAGCCTCATCTACAATCAGCTCTGACTAACATCCAGAGAAGCCTTAAGCAACAGACTAAAGGTGAAGTAGAGGGAGAAGAGTCGGGGCTTGGTTTGCCTCATTCCTAGAGTCCCTGAGTTGGCTCTATAAATTTTAAGTTCACATAAAAGCATTGTAAAAACATATTCTACAATATAATTTACAAGTATGTCAGTGCAGGTCATTTATTATATTTGGACAACTTTGGCAGGCAGAGTTTTGAGACTAAGGAACTCAAGTGTTAGAGATTAGACTATCAGATTACAAAGTCAAACTGTAACACAGAACAGGAACAATTTTTTTCTTCAAAATAACTAAGAATTTTTGATGGACACTGAATGGAGGCAAAACTTTCTCATACTGAGTTACACTTGTACTACTAAGAACAGGTACATACCCTCGAGAAGCCAGCAGTAAGGAAGGGCATTACAGACACCTCTTCTTTGTCCATCCTGCAAAGGAAGACGGGCAGGGTTAGGTAGTGCTCATTGATTTACAGAATCTCAATCAGTCATATAACAAGTACTTTCAAATGTTTTAGATATATGCGCATGAAATTGAAAAGCCTATCCTATCTCAATTTCATGTTTGGCTTTTAGCAGAGTATTATTACAATGTTTTGTGGAGCTATAGGCTTGCAGTGTTATTCAGGCTGGCCTCAAACTCCTAGGCTCAAGCCATCAATCCTTTTTTCCTGGGTCTCCTGAGTACTGGACTAGAAGAGCCTGACACTGTACCCAAATATGTTAACACTTTAAATACAAAGGTTATGTTAACAACCAAATAGTGTCTAGGCATCAAATACATAAAATTAATATCTATTAAATTCTCTTATCTTCCACTTCTAGCAGATTACAGGGCTCAGAAGCATCTCTGTCCACACTGACTATAACAGCACATATTTGAATATGTGCTCCCTTCCGTGTGTGCTCTCCCCTCCTTGCTCTAACTCGAGAAGACAATTCTTTACATTTATGTGTTACTCAGACCCTTACAGGAAGACATCTCTTCCCAACCTTCACCCTCAAGAGATGGGATTTTCTTAACAGTTTGCCTGCAAACAGTAGTTTAAAATCAGAAGACTAAACTTGAGGGCAGCACTCCCTCCCTGAGGTCAAGCAAAGAAGAAACATAAAATGCTAAGGAGATTTCAAAGGGGCTCTCCTGTCACAGCCAAGCCCTTATTTTGCCATCTGTTAATAACAATGCATTGACATATAAATTTCAACATTTAAAAAAGATGTTTACCTGCAAACTACACCAACAATAACTGTGTTCTCTGAGAGTTTTGATGATCTGATAGACCTTTAAAAAACAAATTTTAAATAAATATAAAAATAACTCAAAATAAATACACTTTCATAGCTGTATTAATAAAATTACAATTAGAGAAGGGAAACAAGAGAGGGAAGAGCTCCCTTCATACTCTGGATTTACCTTCTTGACTACCTATTCCCAATAATGGACTGTAGTAGCCATGGCAACTACCACATACAAAGGAAGAGCTAAGGTGACACTTTATACATTAGGTTAGTGTAGGAAACAATCTCCCCGACACTGTGCTTACTAGAAAGGGGCAACGATCACTTCTCTCTGCCCTTGGAAGGGAGTACAAGCTTCTGTACATGGCCCCAGGCTCCTGCCTGTGCACACTGTAGGCGTTAGGATGACCAGGAGCCAGCTTGTCACAGAGCTCTAAGGTAAATTGGAGGCAAAACCACACCACCACAAAACTAGGACAAGGAAATACGAGATACTGTTATCAGCCACAGTGAAGAGAGTCACCACCTGTGATTAAAGGTTAAGATGGTGTTTGGTGGAGAAGAGTAGAAGATGCTGCTCCATTGATGTCACCCAAGGAGTATGAGGCTCTCCACCCAACCAGGAACACAACCCTTTAGGGGAAGCAGCAATACAGACCATGAGTGATGACAATACAGCCAAGAAATCAGAGGGAAGGCATATATGAGATACAGAGGAGTAGAGAAAGGAAAGGAACATTCTGCTGGAGGTAGACAACAGCTCTGAAGAGCCAGCCACTGGAGGAAGAAGAGGGGCTTTAGATGGGAGCAGTGGAGAGGAGCATATCCAGACTGTCCTAGCTAAGGGAGAAGCATGCTGGCCTCTTGGAGGACGACGTATTCACGATGGGACAGAGACCAGCCAAGGCTGACTACATGACTTCAACTCTATTAAAAACAAACATAGAGCCACTTCTGAATCACAGAAAACACACACACACACACACACACACACACACACACACACACAAATTGAGTGGCTACTTCCCAAGTCACCCAAAGACGACACATAACACAACTACTCTAGATGTCCATGAAAGAATTATATACAGTGGGTGCCTAGATCCTCACAAAGTTTTCTCTAAAGAGCCAGGAAGGAACTATTTTATGGTTTGCAGGCCTTATGCTTCTGTGTTATTCTGTCCCAATTAACTACTAGTGATAGGTAGCTTTAATTGTCAACTCGACATACCTTATAATGTCCTGGAAAGGGAAGTCTCGATGAAAGACTGCACTGTGTTGGCCTACAGACATGTCCGTAGGAGACTGTCTTAATTAGGTTAACTGATGGGGAAGGCCCAGCCCACTGTGAGTAGCACCATTCCCCAAGCAGGAGGTCCTGAACTGTAGTGGAGAAACTGCTGAGCACAAAGCAAGCAAGCGAGCGTGCGTGTCTGCATTCTCTCTCTGCTTCTGACGGAGGGTATAACGCATCTAGCTGTTTCGAGTTCCTATCACCTTCCCCACAGTGGTGGACCATAACATGGCATTGTGAGCTAAAATAAACCCTTGTTGTCAGGATACGTTATCACAGCAACAGAAACGAAATGAAAACACCACTACCGCCCTTGGAGCAGGAGTGTGATCACAAAATAGGCAAAACCTTTATCCTTTACTCACCCTTACCTTGGGGCATGCAGGCTGCAGCTTCCTGTGGGTCTGAAGCTGAGACTAGTCCTCAGGGAAAGATGCTCAAAATGAAAAGTGGCTCCAGGGCCCAGCTAAAAGCTCTCTCACGGGCACACTGCTCTCCCCACCTTTCTCAACATTCATGTGTTTCTTAATGTCCACTGGACTTCACTTGCTCTCATGTGCCCTCCTTCCCACACACGCCCACCTAAAGGGCACTTGAGACCTCCACTGGAAAACTTTCCACACAGGTCGCTGCAGGACTTGCTGGCTAGGTATCGAACCCTGGTCTGCCTGGAGAAGACCAGACTCAGCTTCTGGAGAGAAAGGCCAGAGGAGGGTCGCTCAGGCCTGGCAGGGTCACTGGTGCAGCAGACGATCATCTGTACAAAGTCAGTGCACTCCTGGTAACCAATACCCGGGCAGGCTCTGATCTCCAGCAATGAAGGAAGAGCACGGATTCATGAATGCTGTCCCTGTGACTCGACAGACGCTGTATCTGTTCCTATATGTTCCCAACATGCTCTTCATCAGGACAGAAATGGAGAGTGAAAGGGAGATTTAAGTTTCCAGCCAGCCACTTCAAATACATCCTCAGGATTTTTAGTGGGAAAATGGTTATGGTAATACAGTGGCAAGTAGGCAACCATGCAAGTGATATGGGGGACAGAGTTCAGGATGACCCACCCATTACAGGAGGAAATGAACAAGGACCTCTGTGTCCAGGAAGAAGCAGGAGAGAGGATCATGTCCACCTAACCACAAGCACATGAAAGCAGTGCTAAACTGTATGTGAAGATAGAAGTATGCACTTGACTTTCCCTAGGGAAAAGGAACAACTGGCTAGGAATAAGGTCAGGGACAGAACCTGGCATGAAAAACAACAGTCTAAAAAAACGAATAGTTTTGTTTATAATTCATGAAACTAGGAAAGAAATGGCTTGGCATAGTCAAAATGTACAAATGGACACTAGGAAGACAGATTTCAAAGTCATGAGATGCTAAAGACCAAGCAAAGTGAGTGCTCTCAGAACCAAACTACCTTTGCTACACGTGACAGAAAACTCCAAAGAACAGTGGTTTAAATACATACATATATAAATATAAAAATGTACATATTCCTGCCAGTCGTGGTGGTGCACATCTTTAGTTCCATATGGCAATAGTACCACATGTAGTGCCTAAAACCAAGACTCGAAAAGTAAGGCTCTGAAACAGGATTTGGAAATGCAATCAACAAAAGTATTTGGCCTTCAAGAAGGTATTACATAGGGGTACAAAAAGTTCCAAATGCCCAGTGAAGAGCACAGGTGAATGGTAATTTGGACAGGTCAGCCACTGATAAAAAGCTTTTTGCGGGCTGGTATGGCTTGTGCCCCCCAAAAGAAGTTAAAGGGAGCACAGTGCTCTGTCAGGCTAAGGTCTCATGGGCTGCACAGGTCTTCTGAGAGCAAGAGAAGTCATTTGAGGAATGAGATTCTGGAGAAATTTCTTGATGAAAGAGTTCATACCAGGCAGGTGCCTTTGCAGAGATGATCTTGAGAGACAAACCAGAGAAAGGCTGAAAATAATACAAAAGCTGATGTGAAAAACAATCAGGGCCTGCTCTTGCCTCTAGAACACTCACTAGGGATGACACAAAGAACCACCCCTCCCCAGACTCTCACCCCACAAGATGAAGATGAAGTGGTAGGAAGGAGCCAACAACAAAGACCTGAGATTCTTGGCCAGGGCCTATCAGAAAAAAAAATATGATCCGGGACCATATTCTCAAAGGTCTGTTCTTCACTGGCCAGCCAAGCCTACTGTGTACTGTTCAGTTCTGGAGTTACACAAGAGATATCAGTTAGGAACAGTCAGTTTTTAGAGGGCTTGTTATACAAGTATGAGGACCCAAGTTTGAATCCCCATTACCCATGTATAAAAGCTTGACATGGCAACATACGTTTATAAGTCCAGGGCTTGGGGAAGGTGGAAACAGGCAAATCCCTAGAACTTATTGGCCTGCCAAAATAGCTGAAAAGATGAGATTCAAGTCCAGTCTCAAAAAAAAAAAAAAAAAAAAGTGAAGAATGCAAGAAGACATCTATTTGTTGTTCACAAAGATTGGTATAGTTCCCCCCCCCCAAAAAAAAATAAAAAACAAAAAAACATTGCTCCTAAACAGCTGGGAGAAGTAAAGGGATCTGTGTCCCCTCTCCCCACTAACTTTCTCTCTCCTACCTAGGGTCAGGTGTTGGAAGGGAGAGTCTTTAAGGAACCCCAAACAAAACAGAGTTTAAAAACAAAACAAACAAACAAACAAACAAACAAACAAAAGCCACCCATGTTGACCTCTGGCTGCAGGTATACTTTTAAAAGGGCACATACCCACATAAGCACATACATATAGGCCACACAAAAACATTCTTTTAAAATAGCCTAGAAAAGTATAATCATTCTTCTTTCAGTAATATGCAAGTGATAGTTTAAAGTAATTAAATGTTAGGTTTCATCTTAACCCTAACTGTTGTCATTTATATTTTGTTAGTTTTGTTTAGTTTTGATTTTTTTTGTGTGGGATTGGAAAGCAAGCCCCAGGCTCTGTGAATGAAGACAGTTTCTTACTGTTTTACATAAAGCAAGCAAGACAATTAACAAATAAAGAGTAGTCCTAGAAACCGCGCTTGCTTACTCTGCATACAGGTGAAGGGAGGCTAGATCTAACAATGTGTTTCTAGGCTGCACTTACTGTCATAAAGGCCCACAGGCCTCTGCCGAGTCTCTGGCTTACCTGCACAGTGCCTCTGCATCCAGCTGCTGGGGATGTCTGTGGTCTATGATGATGATGTCATGCACTTTGTCCTGGAAACAGGCAAGGACAGCCTGCACCTCCTTGATGACTGTGCACTTAAACCCAGCTTTTTCACAGGCCCTGTAGAATCCATTACACTGGTTATCTTCTTTGGTAAACACTAAAAGTACCTGGATCAGAAGAGCACAAACACATTTTCTAAAATCATATTATAACTGTCATTTTAAAATAAGCCACGGAAAATTCCTAAATGTTTAGGACACAATATGTGAACATAACATCTGTAAATACACATTCTTTTCTTACATATAAATCAAGAATATAGCATTCACTGTTGAGTCAATGCTAATTTCTAGACTGGAGGTCCAAGTGCTTGTAACATATGCTTACTTCGTTTGCTGATAACACCATTGATAGGACTCAATAAAGACTTGACAGAACATCTTACTTTAGAATTGAATCAAAACACACAGATATTTATGTTATCAAACAGAAAGTTAACTGAGTATGTCAATGCTGGTATTCTAGTGAAATGCCCCAGATGGCAAATGCAAATATTTTAGTGAAACTGTTGGGACACATGATCCTTAAATGGTGTACTTATCATGCTTTCACTCAAATTTTATGTAATGTCTCCAATCTAAAAAGGCATTCTGAATATGAGGGAGAAGATTTGAAGACTACAATGTTACATTTTAGAGTCTGCTGGGTAAGTGGCATGCGCACAGAGCCCAGGCAATCCTAGGTAGCATCTGTGCCAATGCCAGGCCAAAAACTGGTTGTCTTGGTGCCTGGCCTATACCATGCAAAGTTGGGATCTGCTGCCTCTCGCCTATTCAACCAGGCCTCCCAGCCAAATCCTGAATCGTCCCTTCAGGGCTAGATTCAATAGACAAGAGAGGTTGTGTGGTAATGGAGCAGCCTGGTAGACAGAGGCTGACTACAAAATTGAAAGAAACCCTTCACCTCCTTGAAAGTTTGCCCAACTTGTTCAAATTCCGCAAATCCAAAGAACCAAAAATACACAACTCTGTCAGACTTGTTCACAAGGTTAAAATACATTGGCAAACATAGTTCATGTGCAGAAAGCTTCAAATAACTTGGCTACATTTTATCTTTTTAAAAATTTGTTTATTTTGGGTACAGGTGTTTTTGCCTGCATGTATATGTGTACCCCACATGTGTAAAGTGCCCATGGAGCCCCAGAAGAGAGTGTCAGATGTAACAAAAGCAAACAAACAAAAACAACCACCTTTCATTTGCCTGGTTCTATTGTTGTCTTGGCAGCTTATTGCCTCCTTCGGCTAACTTAGGCCTAGTCCTGGAAGTTTCTAGCCTCTGTACAATCTAACCTAGGCCTAGAATGTTTTCAGCTCATTCATCTTACTACTGAATAAGTTCATCCTTTCTTGTTCTTTCTGAGCCCTAGGATGGCCGGTTCAACTCAGCTGCTCTGGCTCAAACTCTTCCCCAGCTGACTCATACAACCCGCTCTAATCTCTTGGAGTCTTCTCATTCTGTCTTCACCTGAGTTGTTCTCTCTCTCTGAAACCTGTCTCTATTACTGTCCCAGAAAAACTGCCCCCGTCTCTCTGCATTACCCCTTAAGTAGCTTCACTTTTCTCTCTCTTCTTTTGAGAGCTGAGCATATCCTATTCTATCAAATCTTCTCTGATTCATCACTTTTTCTGCCATTCAATTAAACATCACTTTCAAACATGGATGCTTCCTTCTACAGACTAACTTTACCTTCGTTGTTTGGGATTAAAGGCATGTACCACCACACACCTGGACCTAAGCTTTTCTTTAGGTGAAATTTGCTCTATACCAGGTTGGCCTTGACCTCAGAGACCTGCTTGCCTCTGTCTCCTGGATCCAGCCGGATCACATAGACCTAGAAGGTCTTTGGATGTAATCTCGTGCCAGAGCAGCCTTGTTCTGAATTGAAATTCCTCCACAATCAGGTCCTTTGGCACTGGAGTTACAGACAGTTGTAAGCTACCTAGAACTGAACCTAGGTCCTCTCCAAGAGCATCAAGTACTCCTAAGCCCTAAGCCATCTCTTTAGTCCCTTAATGCCAACATGGACTATCTGAGACCCTGTCCCCAGCCCTCACTGCCCCCCCCCAAAAAAAACCGGGTGTAGTGGAAAAATTCAAACTTATAGAAAAGTTGTGAATAACAATGCCTTAAATATTCTTCCTCTAGATCAATCAGCTGGTAGCCCTTTTCCACTTTGGCTTTATTTCCTCTCAATGTATGTACAAATGTACATATATGCACAATTATACACTTTTCTCCTTTATTGCAACCCTAAATTTTAACCTCAGTGTGTGTGTTCCTGAGGAAAAGATTATAACATGATTAACAAATCCAAGAAATTTAACCATGACCTAGTGCTAGTATCTAAACAGAAGAACAAGTATCTTAAATGTATCATTTTAAACACTCCTTATTAGAGACAACTGAAATGTGTTGATTACTGTATAGTACCTGAAGTTGGTCTTGATGAAATCTCATCGGGCCAAATTGTATATCAGCTAGTGATACCTGTAAGAAAGAGATTTGCTTATATTTTTCTCTCTCTACTTAAGTGTTACAGACAAAAGTAAAATATCTACTCTAAATTTACATAAATAACAGATAAGTAAAAAAAAAAAAAAAAAATTGTAACCAACTCCCAGGAGAAATGAGACTGGAAAGAAGAATGAAAATACATGTGATCTCAGGGTAGCTAGCTCAGTATCACTTTAAGAAAGTTCCTCATCCTTTCTCAGCCACATTTGTTACAAAGAAAAATAAGATTATAATACAAAGATCCTCTAAAGAGTAGACACTAAATAAAACACTGGTAGTTCCCATTGATTTAGCCCCACCTTTTCCTGGTGGATAATGAAATCTTTTGCAATCTGCCAGTCAAAACAGTGGATGTCAGTCTGAACAATGGATGTCAGTCAAAGAAACTTCTCTGAGAAACAGTTGACACTTCTTTTACAGAGGAGCATAGCAGTCTTGGTTAATACATTTTTACCACAGGAGAGGTCGACATTGAACACTCCACAGCAACACACACAGCATCAGGGCTGGGAAGATAGTTCAGTTATCAAAGTGCTTGCTGCAAAAGAATGAGGACCTGAGATCTGCAGCACTACATAAAAAGCTGGAGGTGTCTGTTTGCATCTGTAGTAGCAGCACCAGGGGGATGGAGACAGGCAAATGCGAGGCTCACTGGCCACCAGTTTAGCTGAATTGATGTGCGCCAGGTTCACTGAGAACTATTGCTTTAAAAAGAAAGGTGGAGGACTGGTGGGTCAGTGGGTAATGGAACTCGTCATGGTAAGCCTGAGGACTTTAAAAAGAAAGGTGGAGGACTGGTGGGTCAGTGGGTAATGGAACTCGTCATGGTAAGCCTGAGGACTGAACCCACAAAGGTGAAGGGAGCTAAGCTCACAAGATTGTTCTCTCACCAGTACATGTGGCGTGTGATGGCACGCTCTCTTGCACGTTGCAGGCTGAAAAAATAGGAAAGGAGAAAGAAAACATATCTGAACTGCTGCTTTTGCTGCACTGTTATAATTTTAAGAGAGCTAATCACTAGGCAGGGGTGGTGCACGCCTTCAGTCTCAGCACTCGGGAGGCAGAGGTAGGCAGATCTCCGAGCTTGAGGCCAGCCTGAGCTATATAGAGTGAGTTCCAGGACAGCCAAGCTACACAGAGAAACCCTGTCTCCAAAAATCCAAAGGAGGGAGAGAGGAAGGGAGGGAGGGGGAGAGAGAGGGAGAAGAGAGAGAGAGAAAGAGAATGAGTTACTAGTGTATACAATAATAAAAAGAATAAGGTGAAAGGTCATGAAGAAAGAGAGCTAAAGTTGACCTCTGGCCTCTACATACGTGTGCGCTCACGGATACCACCACCACATGCAGGAACATACACTATATGCCCCATCAAAAAGGAGAACAAACCACAGTGTCAGACCTGACTCCCGAGACTATAAATCACACTGCTGCAAGGCTTACTGTGTCCTGTGAGAAAGGCCAAACACAATAAGCCGTCTCACTAGTCCTCCCCCGCCACAAAGTGGTCAGGGTTTTCAACAGGAAACAGGCCCTGAGTACTTTGCTTGAGGACACAAGGCTAGGATGTGCCATGTTTGCCACTATCCCTTCTCTGGTAAGCTCCAGACCCCAAGATGCAAACTCAGAAGCTTTGGCTCGCCTATGCTTTTCACAAAGAAGTCTAGGAGAGGGAGAAGTTGGGGTTGAAGAACATGCCTGCACATGTGCGCACACGCACATACACACACAGAAGTCTAGTACAGTATGTACATCTCTCTCTCTCTCTCGTCTTCTACAATATACATATCCTAATATATATTCTACACTAGACTTCTATTCAGAAAAAGAAAGAAACCTGGCCCAGAGGAAGAGATAGCATTTGGAATCTAATCTGAGGTTCTCTGTGCTGAAGAGATCCCTACCCTAAGCCTCTGGGAGATGCTGTGATTCCATATCTAGAACAACAACCCTAGATGCTCCTCCCAATCTCTCTTCTCAAGACATAAAGCAAGTACAAAAAAAAAAAAAAAAAAGTAACAAAATATGCTCAGAAAACCCACATGTAACCTTGCATGGTTTTGAAATGTTATAAAAAGTTGACTGTCCTGGCTAGTTTTATGTCAATTTTATATAAGCCAGGTCATTTGGGAAGAAGGACTCTCAATTGAGAAAATGCCTCCTGCTGGCAAGTCTAAATTAGTGATTGATGTGAGAAGGCCCATCCCATTGTGGGTGGTGCCATACTAGGCTAGAGGTCCTTGGTGCTAGAAAAAAGAAAGCTAAGTCAGCATAACGGGGCAAGGCAGTAAGCAGTGCTCTTCTATGGCTTTTGCATTAGTTACTGCCTCTAGTTCCTGTCCCGACTTCCCTCGATGATAGACTTACCTGTAAAGTAAAATAAACCCTTTCCTCCCCATGTTACTCTTGGTCATTGTGTTTTTCCACAGTAGTAGAAATCCTAACTGGGACACCAATATTCACTCATTACGAACCACTGATTAAGTTTCTGATTTGCCTTGTGATAATTTCGTTTCTCAAAAGAAACTCAGATGAATGCAGATCACTATTTCATACCTAAAAGTGATGAAGGGAGAGTCGTCTCTGGAGAAGTGAGAGGTAAGGAGAATGGGTACAAGGGATGATTTGCTGTATGAAAATCACCAAATACAATGTACTACTAACAGAGTGGAGGGAAACACCACGTGATAATCTCAGCTGATACAGAAAAACCATTTGACAAAACCCTAAGTAAACATCTTTTCATGACAAGAATGGTTAATTAGGAGTAGAAGAGAACTACCTAGACATAATAAACCCACAGCAAAAATACTCAGTAGGGAAGAATGGAAACAGTTTCTCTACAGTTAGGGACAACGGAAGAAGCCTGCCCACTTTTGTTCAGCACGGTCATTGGAAGTTCTAGACAAAACAATTAGGCAAGGGAAACAAATGAGGTATTCAAAATAGAAAAGGAGTAAAGCTATCTTTATTCATAGATAATACAACCTTAGATAAAGAAAACCCCAAGGATCCCACAAGAAAACTGCTAGGAATAGTGAATGAATCTGGCAGGATACAAGTTACAAAAATCAAATATGTTTTTGTATTTAGTAATCTAAAAGGAATTTGAAAAGAGTGTACTTGACAGAGTAACAAAAACAAAATATTCATCTGGGGAGATGGCTCACTAAAATTCTTTCTGTGCATGAATGAGGCTCTGAATTTGGATCCGTAGCACAGACTTAAAAGTCAGGCAAGTAGTGCACCTTGACTCAAGGTCTGGGTGGGGACAGGGAGGCAAGCGGACCCTGGGAGCTCGCCTGCTGTCAGTTTAACTGAGGTAGTGAGTTCCAGGTTCAGGAAGATGGCGTCTTAAACAAAAGACCCCGGTGTGGTGGCACACACCTTCAATCAATTCCAGGACTTGGGAGTCAGAGGCAATACAATCCTTTCTTTCTTTCTTTCTTTCTTTCTTTCTTTCTTTCTTTCTTTCTTTCTTTCTTTCTTTCTTTCTTTCTTTCTTTCTTTCATTTATTATTTGTACAGTGTTTTGCCTCCGTGTACACCTGCATGCCAGAAGAGGGCACCAGATCTCATTATAGATGGTTGGGAGCCATCATGTGACTGCTGGGAATTGAACTCAGAACCTTTGGAAGAGCATCCAGTGCTCTTAACCTATGAGCCATCTTCTCCAGCCCCACATCAGAATCTTTTTGAGTTTATGAGTTTGAATCTTTGTGAAGGCCAGCCTGGTCCACACAGTTCTAGGCTAGCCAGGGACAGAGAGAGAGAGACTCGGTCTCAAAAAAACAAAAAACAAAAAACCCAAACCCTTAAAAATTATGATGAGGAGGAAGAGAAGGAAGAGGAGGAGGAGGAGGAGGAGGAGGAGGAGAATGGAGAAGAGGAGGAGGAGGAAAGGGAGAGTGTGACAGAACCAACAGAGATGGCCTTCACATATGTATAAACACACACACACACACATATACGACATGTACACATGCCACATACACAAACATTTTTAACTGAATGGAAACACATCTCATGTTTACAGATTAAAAGACAACATTACTGCCTGACAGTTGTGGCTCGTGCCTTTAATCCCAGCACTTGGGAGGCAGAGGCAAGTGGATCTCTGAGTTCAAGGCCAGACTGGTGTACAAAATGAGTTCCAGGATAGCCAGGTCTACACAGAGAAACCTTGTCTCAAAAAACCAAAAACCAAAAACAAAACAGAAAAAACAAACAAACAAAAACACTACTAATATGTCAATGCTACCGAAAGCAATCTACACATTCACTGGAGTCCTTATTAAAATGATCTTCTTTTGTTTTTGGCAGAAACATAAATGTACATTCTAGAACTCAAATGGAAACTCAGGGGATCTCTAATAGCCAAAACAACCTTGAAAATGAATGACCTAAAAGATTCACATTTCCTAATTTCAAAACTTAATACAAAACTACAGCTAAGTAATGTGGTGCTGGTATAGACAGATACTGAAATGAACAGAAAAGCACATATCCTCAAATAATTTTGACAAAGATGCCAAGACAACTCAATGAAGAAAAAGACAGTCTTTTCAACAAATGATTGATGGGACAACTGGACACTCAGACATAAATAATGAAGTTGGATGCTTACCTACCTAATGTCATAGCCAAAAACTGACAAAGTTAAGGACCTAAGTATAAGATAGAAAATGTAAAACTCATAGATGTTGTACAACAAGAGACAATATTAACAGAGTAAAAAAGCAACTCAGATGAGAGAATATATTTATAAATCATGTATTTGATAAGAATTTGAGACCCAGAGCCTACGGAACTCAACATTTCAACCGACAACTGATTAAAATGGTCTATTCTGACCTATGCAGGAACCAAGCATGTACACGTGTGGGCAAAACACTCACACATAAAGTGAGTAAATCTAATGAAAATTTTCTCTAAAAAGGGGCAAGGACTCACACAGACATTTCTCAAAGAAGATAT